AGGTGGGCCCATTTGGGGGAGGGAACCCGACTGGGCTTTTTGTTGAACGGGCTCCTTTGACGACGGGTGGGGGCCTCTTGGGAGCAGGAACAAACTGACGGTGTTTTGGCGTTTGATTCGTTTGGGATCTTGGTTCTCTCTAGTACCGGAACCAAAAAGGGGCGATGATGGCCATAATGACGAGCTTTTTTTTGAAGAAAAAACCGAAATAAATAATAAATAAACCAACTGTTTCCCCCCCCCCCCCCTTTTCCCCCCCCCCTCCCTTCATAGCGAATTTTAAGGTGAGGACGTATTTTTCTGTACTGTGTTACTGTACTGGTGACGCGGTAGGTGACGTCATTTACTTCCAAAAAAAAAAAAAGTTGCACTAAAAGATTGAAAGTCGAGAAAGGTAAAAACAATTTTCTCTTCCATATATCTTTTTTAAAGAAATGTTCTTTTTTAGTATTATTATCTAACTATGGACAGTATACTCCATCGTCAATGGAAGCTTGTTATTATTTTGATGTTCGTTGAAATGGGTGGGCCCGGAGTTGCTTCGTTACTTCGTTACTCAGAGTAACGTATGGAGAGCAATGAGCATTAAATAACCAAAACAGCAAGGGGTAAAAAAAGAAAGAAAGGAGTTACTTTGGATGAATACAGGTCAATTACATTTCCTGTCCTCTGATCAACTTAATTAATATGCAGTGGATGGTGATATAAATAGGAGGGTTTATGCTGAGATAAAAGAGGACAGAGTTCAGTTAGAGACCAGCTTTACCCGGAAACTTAGGACATACTAAGAAAGTTTACGTAAAAAAGATAAAAAGGGTTTCTCATCGAAACCAGCTTTAAAATAGTATCATTTTATACAAATCATCTTCAAAATTTTAATTTATACATAAATCATCTTTAAAAAGTTTTTTTTTATTTCAATCAACAGCCTGGACCCATTTTTCATTTAATTTTTTGGGTGATTAATCCAATCTAACCTCCATTAAAGATTATCTCTATAATATGCTCGGTATTTAACAACTAACTTATTACAGTAAAACCGGAAAAAAATTTGACTTAAAAATGAGTTCAAATAGTTAATTGCAATAGCAATCTATGTCAAAATAGATTATGTATAAATTGAAAATTAAAGATAGTTTCCCCCGTATAGGCTTATGTCATATGATATGATTCCAAAAGTACATGAGGTGGCCCTAGGCAAGGATAAATACCAACATTATGGCCTATGCAATGAGAACAGGATGGCACATTGCAACCACCAAACTTTGCAACCATACAAACATAATTTAGCTCAGGTTACATTGTTCAACATCTTAAATAGTACCCAAGACCACAGAATTTGAGACAGTAAAAACCAATGAAACCAGTAATTCTAGCACAACATTGAGAACATAACAGTGTAGAACCTTAAAACTGCAAATGTTTCAATATATAAAGGCTAGTGTTTGATCATGTAAAAGACTGTTTGTACAGTGATAGCAGCTGGTTTTCATGACAAACAATAAATGATAAAAACACATGTTTACATGTCAAATTTAAAACCTCTACATCAAAAATAGGATCATAAGATTGAATCTGATAGTATATGCTCACCTCTTTTTGTTCCTTTTGAAGTCTGCTCACAACTTACTCTCCTTTGCAAGCAAATTTAAACCTGTAAGAAAACAAAGAACTGTGTTTTACATTTTTACATTTTTACAGTGGCTGATAATTTGAAAGCACGGAAAAGAAAGGGGGAAAATGCATCTCTTGGAATATCCCAATTTGTTCTAACTTCTCATAGTTACAATGAGATTCATATTGCTTCAGATCCTAAGAAAATATGGAAGCAATACAGCATCACCTTAGCCAATGAGTGTCTCACGCATGAGTTAAGAATGTTGGACCCTAGAGGGGGGTGATTAGGGTCAAGAGGCTCTAATATGCAATATAAATTCAGCACAAGCAAAACACAAAACAAAAATGCGATAAAAATAAGAGAGATAGGGTTAGGAGTTCGTTATCCTTGACGCACGATGTGTTAACGAGGTTCGGCCCTCTGGCCTACGTCCCCGCTCCCCACTCTCGAGGAGAAATCCACTACACACCCGGTTTGGAAGCCGGAACTTCGTCTACACAGCGATCTCCACAGATCTCTCTCACTACACAGTTTGATCTCAACAGATCACACCCTCACAGTAGATCTTACACAAGATCTCACCCTCACAGCAGAAGAAAAGATGCAAGACTCTCTCTTTACACAGCGCCTATGGCAAAGAGAAAAGTTACTGAAGCTGGGAAGTGAATCACACAAAAACACAGAGAAAAACAGATTTGAAAATTTTCTCAGGAAAACAGAGCTCTCTGGTTTTTGCAAACGTTAGGGCTTGGGAAGAAGAAGCAGTCTGGGGGGATTTTATAAAAGAGTTTAAACCAATTAAAAACAAAAACCCAATCTTCCTATTTAGGAAGATAATCTACTTTTCAGGTTGTTACCTCAGACTGTGCCAAACACTATTAAGTGAAAGCACAACAGTCGAGGCAAACGACCGTTTTAAAAAAGTCGCGGCTGACCAAAGACACAAATCGGTTGACCGAAGGGAATTTCGGTCGACCGAAAAAATGCTTCGGTCGACCGACCGAAAATTTCGGTCGACCGCCAACAACCTTAAAAACTTAGAAATCAAGCAGAGACACCGTCGGTCGACCGGCGCGGTCGACCGATTTGAAAGTCGAGATTTCGGTCGACCGTACCGGTCGACCAACGACTTCTCTGGAAAATAGTGAGGAAAGGCGATGGGAGCAGTCGACCGGACCGGTCGACCGCTTTCTGACATTTTGCAGAAAAAACAGTTTTTGACCAACTCTAAATATTTGCAAAATATTTATTTGACCTCTGAAAAATTTGAAACTTTGTAAAATGTTTTTAATACTAAAAACAGACTGTTTAGAAAAGGAATTTTGCAGATAGGTCCTCATACTTATGAAAAGTAGTATTTTGTGAAAAACGCTTAAAAACTTAAGTATGAAATCGTGTGTGTGATTCCCAATAGCTTCAAGTAGAATCAGTAACTCTTTGCCTACATTCTAGCACTAGAGAGGGAAACAAAAGAAAGCTAATATCCTCATATAGAGAGCAATACTTGAGCTTTGATATAGCTTGAATCGGATGAAGCTTTTAGTAGAATTTGTCGTTCTTGAAATAACGTTGCTTCATCTCTTGGCCTCCTCCTCCTTTGGATATCTTCGTTGTAGCGTATATTCCATCCATCCTCCGTTAATGACACTAACGAGCTTGATAAATGAATTTACTACATTTTCACTCAATAAGCTATTAGTACCGATAATGATGGTTGTAAAACATCATCAAAACATAAGGGCTAACAATCTCCCCCTTTTTGATGATGACAACCAACCATTATATAAGAGCAAAAATAAAATAGCTTATAGATAGGTGCTCCCCCTATCTATGAGCTCCCTCTAAATATATGCAACAAATGAGGAGATTTCTCTCCCCCTTTGTCACCATCAAAAATGGGGAAAGAAATGCAAAATGCAAGATGCAACTAAACAAGCAAGCAGTGTAGAACTTTCACATAGTGCATAAGCCCAAACCATTCCTTATGCGACAAAAATCATCCTCTCCAAGAGGCTTAGTAAATATATCCGCTAGTTGAGATTTTGTGTCAACAAACACTAGGGATACATCTTGTCGTTCTACATGATCGCGTAAGAAATGATGGCGTACATCAATATGTTTAGTTCTAGAATGCAAAACCGAATTTTTGGAAATATTTATAGCACTTGTGTTATCACAAAAGATTTTAATATTTTGAAAATTCAAATCATATTGAGCACAACATAAGCCGGCGGTAATGTATTCCGCTTCCGTAGTGGACAATGCAACACAATTTTGTTTTTTGGAAGCCCAAGAAACAAGGGAATTTCCCAAGAATTGACATGTTTCACTAGTACTCTTGCGATCTACCTTACATCCGGCAAAGTCGGCATCACAAAAACCATATAAATCAAAAGAAGTGCTTCTTGGATAAAATAAACCAATGTTAAAAGTTCCATTAACATACTTAATGATTCTTTTAACCGCAATTAAATGAGACGCTTTTGGAGATGCTTGAAAACGTGCACATGCACACACACTAAACATGATGTCGGGTCTACTAGCGGTGAGATAAAGAAGACTACCTATCATACCTCGATATAGTTTTTGGTCCACATCTTCACCACTCTCATCCGCATCAAGCTTAACACTAGTACTCATGGGAGTAGGCGCATGCTTAGAATTCTCCAACTTGAATTTCTTCACCAATTCCTTCGCATATTTGCTTTGTGAAATGAAGATCCCATCCTTAGTTTGCTTGACTTGGAGCCCGAGAAAGAATGTAAGCTCTCCCATCATACTCATCTCAAAGTGATCCTCATGGATGGATTTGAAAGAAGTCTTTGTTTGTTTACCTTTGGCACAATCCTCACAAATTGTATCTTTTATGAAGTGCAAGCTAGGTAGCCCTTTCACAAGATTCTTCTTAGACAATTTTGATATTAACTCCATATTTGCATGTCCAAGTCTTTTGTGCCAAATCCAATGATTTTCATCAATTACCGCAAGACACTTCACATCTTGACTCACTAACTCATTCATCTCAAAAATGTAAACATTAAACTTGCGATTTGCAATAAAAATAATTTTTTCATCCATACTAATGATGCATTTATCCGGTTTAAAAGAAATATCAAAACCTTTATCACTTAATTGGCTAATGCTAAGAAGATTATGATTCAAGCCATTTACTAAATAAACATCTTCAATAATGGGTGAGGGTTTCTTACCAATAGAACCGATACCAATGATTTTACCTTTCTCACCACCACCGAAGGAGACATTGCCTCCTTCAATCCTTGATAGGGTTGCAAATAACTCTTTGTTGCCCGTCATATGATGTGAGCAACCACTATCAAGGTACCACATCTCCTTACGTCGTTGCCGTGACGTTCCCTACAAAAGAAGAAGATGAAGGTGTAGTAGCTTTAGGTACCCATGTCTTGGGTCCTTGGTGGTTAGTAGTCTTGGTACCTTTGGGTACCCATATCAAACCATAAAAATCTTCATTGTCTTTAATTCTACAATGAGTAGAAATGTGTCCATGTCTCATACAATAGGTGCATACAAAATTTCTTTTGTATGTACGAATGTTAGAACCATGAAACCTATTTCTACCATGGTGATTGTAGTTGGCATAAGCATGAGTGGGTCTAGTCCTACAACCCTCAATTTCTAGTCTTTCAATCTTTGATCTTAATTGCTTGTTCTCAAAATCGAGATCTCCAAGCAATTCATCTTTTAGAGCAAGAGAGGTTGTTAGTTGTTCTAGCTTAATATCACAAGAGGCATGCAATTTTTTGAAAGAAGAGTATTCTTTAGACATTCTTTTAAATTCAAAGTTCAACTCTTCTAAAGCCATAGCTATGTCACATTGCATATAAAAAGATTCACTTTCGGCCTCGGATATTACCTCATGTTCATTTGCCATGAAACAAACATTTGGGTCATGAAGAGCAAGTTTGGCTCCTTCTTCATCACTATCCGAGTCACTTGGTTCGGATTCTTCCCATCCGGCATACATAGCCTTCTTCTTCTTGTACTTCATGTACTTTTCTTTGAGCTTGGGGCAATCCTTAAGATGTGACCCGGTTCATTGCACTCAAAACATTTACCTATACGAGAGGAAAACTTGTTGTTAGATCGAGGGTTAAATTTTTTGTTCATTTTTATAAGTCTAGAGATTCTTCTAGAGAGATGAGCCACTTCTCTAGAAAAATCAACTTCACTCTCCGACGACGAAGATGAGTTGTCACTAGCTCCTTTGAGAGCTATGGTCTTCAACTTTGGTGACGGCTCCTCAACTTCTCGTGATGGCACTTCCTCCTTCTCCTTCCCCTTGAGCTTCTTCTCATGCACTTTGAGCTTTCCGATGAGACTATCAAGAGCTAAGGTAGTGAGGTCATGAGCTTCCTCAATGGCCGTAGCCTTGGGCTCCCATGCCGGAGTCAATGAGCGAAGTATCTTGTAGTTCATCTCTTGAATGGATAATTGCTTATCTAGACCATGTAATTCATTGATGATATTAGTAAAACGGGAAAACATAGCATCAATGGATTCATTAGGAAGCATTTTAAATAGCTCATAATCATGCATGAGTCCACTAATCTTAGATTCCTTAACTTGGGGTGTTCCTTCATGTGTGACACATAATTTTTGCCAAATTTCGTATGCGGTTGCACACGTGGAAACTCTATTATATTCATTAGGGGAAAGACCACAAATTAAGGCGTTCATAGCCTTAGCGTTGAGATTAGCTAGGTGCCTTTCTCCATCGGTCATGTTCCCGACTTTGGACTTCTCAACATATTTCTTTTCTATGAGCTCTAGGATGTCAAGATCAATGCAACGAAGATAAATTCTCATCCTAGCCTTCCAATAAGCAAAATTACTCCCAGTGAAGAGGGACCCTAGAGGGGGGGTGATTAGGGTCAAGAGGCTCTAAAATGCAATTTAAAAACAGTACAAGCAAACCACAAAACAGTAAAGCAATTAAAGTAAGAGAAATAGAGTTAGGAGTTCGTTATCCTTGACGCGCGATGTGTTAACGAGGTTCGGCCCTCTGGCCTACGTCCCCGCTCCCCACTCTCGAGGAGAAATCCACTACACACCCGGTTTGGAAGTCGGAACTTCGTCTACACAGCGATCTCCACAGATCTCTCTCACTACACAGTTTGATCTCAACAGATCACACCCTCACAGTAGATCTTACACAAGATCTCACCCTCACAGCAGAAGAAAAGATGCAAGACTCTCTCTTTACACAGCGCCTATGACAAAGAGAAAAGTTACTGAAGCTGGGAAGTGAATCACACAAAAACACAGAGAAAAACAGATTTGAAAATTTTCTCAGGAAAACAGAGTTCTCTGGTTTTTGCAAACGTTAGGGCTTGGGAAGAAGAAGCAGTCTGGGGGGTTTTATAAAAGAGTTTAAACCAATTAAAAACAAAAACCCAATCTTCCTATTTAGGAAGATAATCTACTTTTCAGGTTGTTACCTCAGACTGTGCCAAACACTATTAAGTGAAAGCACAACAGTCGAGGCAAACGACCGTTTTAAAAAAGTCGCGGCTGACCAAAGACAAATCGGTTGACCGAAGGGAATTTCGGTCGACCGAAAAAATGCTTCGGTCGACCGACCGAAAATTTCGGTCGACCACCAACAACCTTAAAAACTGAAAAATCAAGCAGAGACACCGTCGGTCGACCGATTTGAAAGTCGAGATTTCGGTCGACCGTACCGGTCGACCGACGACTTCTCTGGAAAATAGTGAGGAAAGGCGATGGGAGCGGTCGACCGGACCGGTCGACCGCTTTCTGACATTTTGCAGAAAAAACAGTTTTTGACCAACTATAAATATTTACAAAATATTTATTTGACCTCTGAAAAATCTGAAACTTTGTAAAATGTTTTTAATACTAAAAACAGACTGTTTGGAAAAGGAATTTTGCAGATAGGTCCTCATACTTATGAAAAGTAGTATTTTGTGAAAAACGCTTAAAAACTTAAGTATGAAATCGTGTGTGTGATTCCCAATAGCTTCAAGTAGAATCAGTAACTCTTTGCCTACATTCTAGCACTAGAGATTTGCCTACATTCTAGCACTAGAGAGGGAAACAAAAGAAAGCTAATATCCTCATATAGAGAGCAATACTTGAGCTTTGATATAGCTTGAATCGGATGAAGCTTTTAGTAGAATTTGTCGTTCTTGAAATAACGTTGCTTCATCTCTTGGCCTCCTCCTCCTTTGGATATCTTCGTTGTAGCGTATATTCCATCCATCCTCCGTTAATGGCACTAACGAGCTTGATAAATGAATTTACTACATTTTCACTTAATAAGCTATTAGTACTGATAATGGTGGTTGTAAAACATCATCAAAACATAAGGGCTAACAAAGCATCCGCCCGAAGCTTTTAACACCATTTTATATCTTTCCAGCAGAAAGTGCACTCAAAACAAATTCACTATTTTTTCTGCAATTTTCTTTTCTCAGCAAATGGCCATTGCTTAGTTTTCCAACCGAGACGAGAGCTCTGCAAAGTTCCAGATCTAAATACTATGGTCTCTCTATTTCTAGAATGACGTAAACATTATGTTCTCTATATTTCTAGCCTTGGCAGTGGAGTAGGACATGCTAAAGGTTAGCCCCACTTTCAGCTTGAAACTAGCTTCTGCGAATAGATACAGATATGAACATAAAAAATCCATATGCAGTTGAATATGGATATATAAATGGAAAATTTTATAGATATCTGTGTTGAATCATGACTGAAATTATTTCGGTATTAGATTAATGAAAATGAAACCAGTCTTGATGATGGAAACATGTTAGGAAAAGAAGTAGACCAGTGGTGATTACTAGGTTCTTGTTATTTGAAAAATTCAAGCAATTCATAAGAGTTTTGAAACAAGAAAACCATGCACCAACTTCAACCGATAAATCAAGAATTACTACAAGCACTTATATCGGGGATATGTCTGATTTCAGCAACATGACACAAGAAATATTTTCACCTAAGGAATAAATTAAATATCACAAGAATATGCCTTAAAATTACATCAATAATGGAAATCTAATCAATAATGGAATTTTTATATTGAAGAAATAGGCCCCAGATTTTTTCATAGGAAGATTGCCCTAAAATTAAGAAGACCAGATCTAAAATTTCTTGCGAAATCAAACCACATTACGCATGCAATCAGAAGATGAATCTCAACAGATCTACACAAACCCTAACAAATAATCCCCAAAATGAAAACAGCTACACAAAAACCAAAGCAAACCCTAGATTCAATCAATACCCTCTTCCAAACAAGCAAGGATCAGAATCACCTCACCTCCTCAGACGCGGGCTCCGGGGGCGGGCCCACCACCCGCGATGGCACTGGGTGCGGCTCCACTGAAGAATGACAGTAGCCTTGTGGTTGCCCCACCGCCCTCCTGCTCATCAAGAAACAGATCTTCCGGCACCCGAAATGCCCTATGAACCTCGACGATCACCGACCCCACAGTCAACGCCGTCATTAGGATGGACCCCACCGACATCAAGAACACCACGAACACCGTCAGCAGCCCAAGGCCCAGCAGCGTCTCCCGATCGAGAACTCAGCCGCCCATTAACACCACAAAGGGCTGCTAGGACGGGCGCGGAACAGGTAGTAAGATGCCCAGGCAGCGAAAAGAGCCCAAAGAGACGATCAGAGTCCCAACATGGGGTTTGTCAGCAGGGAGAGGGGCGAGGACGGCGGCGATTAGGGTGGCAGGTAGTTGAGCGAGCGGAAGTAGGCGCATGGTTCTTGCGGAGCGCGGGTGTTAGGCGCGCGTGCGCAGAGGGGAGAGTGGGTTGATGGGCGGGGAAGAGAAGCGGAGGGGGCGGTCGGCGACGGGGGGCTCGCGTCCGCATGGGCCCGGGCGCGGAGCGGTTTCGGAGGGTCGAGAGGGCGGGCGAGTTCGGCGGCAAGGGTTGGCGACGAAGGTTGGCGTGGGCGCGGGCGGGCGGGGGGCGGCGGAGTTGGGTATCGAGGCGGCGGGCGGCCGTGGCGTGCGGTGAGGCGGGAGAGGGAGGGGGTTCGGGGGTGGAGGAGGGATCATTGTTTAATTTTTGGTTTTCGTGCGGCTGGATGTGAAAAGATTTGGGGAAGGTGGGGGCTATTTTGGGGAGGGATGGGGGAGCGGTTTTGCGTTGAGGGTGGAGGTGGGGTGTGCCTGAAGAGGAGTTTTGTTAGCGTGGTTTGGGGGAGCTTGATGGCGATTGTTGGTTCGCTGGAATTTGTTGTTATTTGGTGGTTTGGCATTTGTTAAGTTGCTTCTGAGAGCAGTGTAAGCGTTTCTGCGTTTGCACGCCAAGGGGCCTACCTTTTTCCCTTTTTGGGCGCTAATGTAATGGGCTTTAGCCTATTTCTTTTGTAATGGGCTTTAGCCTATTTCTTTTGTAATGGGCTGACCTTTTCTTGCTCCCTTTTCATAGTCTGAATACAACGCAAGGCTTTGGCCCACGTACTTTTAATGTGTTATTTTGTGCGCCTCCTCCCCCACACAACTTTTCTTTAAATAAATCATTACTAGTACTTCTGGTGCTCACGACGCGTGCATATACATTATACGTTACAGGAAAAAATTGTTAGCAACAACTTAATAATTTATGATAATTTATGATAAGTAATAATTCATCTAACACATCAGAAGAAAAACATTCTACAAAGAATTAAAGTAGGCACTTTGATATTGAGGGAGAACTTTTAAAACATATGAATAAGGAACACAATTTTATTACCTTGTTTATTACCAATAAATCGAAACGGGTGCGAAGTAAAATTGGACGGACATAAAAAGCAATATCCTAAGGCCGCGTTTGGGAACTTTAATTTGGATTTGGAAAGTTAATTTAAAATCAAGGGATTTTAAATTTAGGATTTGAAATCCATGATTTAAGAAATCTTTTGTTTGGATAATTTAGGATTTGAAATCCATGATTTAAGAAATCTTTTGTTTGGATATCTTTATTAAATGAAAGGATTTAAAATCTTTTGATTTAAGAAATCTTTTGTTTGGATATCTTTATTAAATGAAAGGATTTAAAATCTTTGATTTCAAAATATAGTGTTTGGGTACTTTATTATACATGAATTTGAATTTAAAATTGATAAAAATTGATTCTCTTAACCCATCTTGTTTACATCAAATGCAATGGAGATGTGTAAAATAGTAACCAAAAAACATAAATTTAGGTAATTTTGGCGATGGTAGCTATATTTGCTAAGTTTTCAAATAGTAACCGTAACTTGCAAGAGTTTCAACAAAATAAAAATGAAGAAAACTCTACAAACATATCAAGTATCTTACAAAAAAACATCTAAATAATACATTACCATTGCATATTTTACAGATATCCAGGCTGGAAAACACTTGAGGCTTGTTTCATATTTCATACATATTCAAAGTGAGAATAAGTTGATATCAGAGCAAAAATAAGTAACAATTCCATTATCTTCTCAAATGCAGGTAACAACTGATAATTACATAGTCAATTTGGTCTTTGATATACCAAGAGAAATGTTAATAAGAAAAAATACAAAGAGTTGCAAACTGAATAGCATGTGAGAAGAGAAGTATCCTTGATGTAAAGAAATTACAACTGAGGATTCAGAAGTGCTTGTATGATAAACCCTATCCGCAGCAACAAAAGAGTAATTCATATGCCATCATGATATGAGCCCAAAACCTACAAAGAAAATGAGCAGATCAATAATTTTTTTTAATCAAGCTAACAAGCTAACAAATTAAACAAAAATGTCGGATAAGTGAGACTGAATAAGATAATGAACTCACATGAGACTATGCAAATTCTGCAATACAAAAAGGTTTTTCTTTTGATGTGATGCTATAGAATTTGATATTTTTTAGACATTTTACAAAATATAAATCAGTTTCAAAATGATTTGCCTCTATATGATCTGGTAAATTCTGCAATTCCAATACGAAAAAAGAAAAACATGTTCCTTTTACGGAAGACTATGCAAATTTCATGCATACATAATAATAATACTACATGGTGAAGTGTATAACTTTTTTTTATTTCTCTGGAGGACTATGGAGATATGAAATTAAGTATACTCATGTATTTGTAGCACCTAAACTGTCACACTAGCTCCATACCTCTTCGGTTGTATATATACATGTCATGTGAGCATGTGTGTATATATATGAATACTGTTATGTATTTTTTGTGTGAGTTGTAAACTTAGCCGGGTACATACCATATTCCTTCATCACCAGGACACTGTCAAAAATCCTTCTAGTCTATATACAATCTATATACAATCGAGACAACAACAGTATTCATAACTGTTCAAAAATCCTAGTAATTACTTCTATCCTAACTGTTCAAAAATCCTTCCAGTCTATATACAATCGAGACAACAACAGTATTCATAAAACGTATGAAGTTAGATATATGACTGTTCTAAGCATTTTATGCACTTGTTTGAGTTCTATCTCAAGAGAACCATAGTGAATGGATGTCAGAATGCCATATGTTCTTCGCTTGTTCTTCCCGAGTAATTTCAAATTTTCTCGAGTTCAACAAGTTTTTCTTTTTTGTTGGTAGATACAATCTATTCCAATTCACAGCATACATATATTCACACTAGCTCATAGAGCACAACAAATTCATTGTCATATAAACGGAAAAATTACTAGGATACAGTTGGGGGGGGGATGTTGTAACTTCAAGTAACGAACAACAATGAGCCTCAACGAAACAAAAATTCAAGATAAATCAGAGGTTTGCATTTAGCAGACGAATATCAAAGAGTTATTAATCATTTGGGGAGAAGCAAAAGAGAACTCACCCAAATGCAAGACAGGGTTTCAGTTCCCAAAACCTGGAAAAAGAAAATAAGCAAGTTATGTAACATGAATCCAACATCGGGGGTAGGGGGAGAGAGAGAGATCAAAACCAGAGAGAGAGGGATCTCGACTTGAAAAGAAAGAGAGGATCGGGTCGGGATTTTATAAATGACAAAGGCTGGGGTGGAATTTGAAATCACTTGTTTTGGGCTTTCAAATTCCTCTTTTTTTTAATGAAAATAGGGTAGATTGCCCTATCATATATTTATAAACCAGAATGTAAGCTTTTACAAAAGATATCTGATTGTGATTTGGCCAGTGACTCCGAGATGGAGGAATGAAACCAAATCACCAAAAGATGTCTCGAAAATAAGAACAAAACAAAACATCATGCCCAAAGAAGACAACTAGATATAACCAGTCTTCCTCGCGATCCCCTAGGACCTGAATCCTCAAAACCAAAACCAAAACATCTGCAAAGCTACTACACTTGAGGACTTGGAAATCCATTACTGTCTGCACTTGACTCAGCAATATCAGGTAGCCCCGAGCTGGATATGAACTTTTTCAACTTGATAGCTTTCTTAGAGGAGGAGGCACCTGTCCAGAAAAGAAGAAAGTGAACAGCCTTGTTGATGATTTGCTGAGGCGTGGTAGACAGGTTAGAGAAGATGAAATCATTCCTAGCTTTCCAAAGGACCCAACAAACAGTGGGGAAGCTGAAGCCCCATAGCAGCCGAATAGAAGCTAGGATGGACGTGTCTGAGCAGATAGAGAGATAATGGTTTATATAGGTGGGGAGAGATACAATACCGATTTTCGAAAGCCAGGGAACCCAGATTTGCTTGGCGAAATGGCATGTGAGGAAAAGGTGGTCATGGGACTCTTGATCATTGCAAAAGGAGCAGGTAGAGTCTGCCAGTCAACCCTGAGTTGCTAATCTATCCTTTTTTTTTCAATCTACTCTGGCTAAGAAGCCAGGAAAATATCTGAACTTTGCTAGGCAACAGCTTATTCTATACTATAGAGTTGTATGGAAAACGATGACCTCTATCCGTGATGAATTTATACATGGATCGCACCGTGAAGGACTTAGAGGCTGAAGCTGGCCACGATGGTCTGTCAGCTGTAGGAGAAGGAGCAAGATTGGATTCATAGAGTAGTTGGATGAGAGCTTGCACTTGATCTCTGTCGTGTGCGGAAGTTGGTCGCCTGAGAATTGGTCTCCACGACTATCTCCCCCTCAAGAAACTCCCTTGGGACTCAGCTAAGACATGTTTGGAGAAGGCCAGGAGATAGGCCTTAGGAAATAAGCTAGCAAGCGAGTTATCTCCTATTCATTTGTCTTCCCAAAAGAGAATCCTAGATCCTTTACCTAGTGCCCATTTAACAGATCCAGTGAAAAAATGGTAGCAGGAGGTAACATCCTTCCAGAATTTAGAGCTATGATAAGCAGGAGAGGGGTTGTGCAGGTTGGAGTGATAGATGGACTGGAGGACTTTGCCTACGTAGTTGCTATTGACAAGGAAATTCCATAGCCATTTGGATAGGAGGGAGATGTTGAATAAGTGGAGATTGGAGACTCCAAGACCTCCACAGGCTTTAGGTGAGCAAACTGCATCCCATCTGACAGGGTGAATGGTTTTGATATTAGTATTTGTACCTCCCCATAGGAAATCACATCTGATTCTATCAATTTTTTTGATGAGCCAACAAGAGAGTTTGAAGAAGGACATATAGTAAATGGGTATGGAGGAGAGGACAGATTTGAAGAGAACCAGCCTTCCACCAATGGAAAGCTGTTTACTCTTCCATATGGAGAGCTTACGATAGAGAGAGTCGATCAATGGTTGCCAATCAGCCCTAGAGAGGGATCCTCTTTTCAGGGGAAGGTCGAGGTACTTAAAAGGAGGGGATGCAAAGGAACAATTGAGAATGTTGGCTAGGAGAGGCCCCTTAGTAGATGATTTACCACTGTAGAACAGGTTAGATTTGGAGAAGTTGATAGATAGCCCAGAGGTACATTCAAAGAGATATAAAATAGATTTGAGATTGGTAATGTCTGTGGGATTAGCCTTGCAGAAGACAATTGTGTCGTCTGCAAACTGTAACGACTTGATGTCGTTGAGCATGCCCTTCAAATGGAGTTCAGAAAGATCCCCGTGGTCACAACTATTGTGAAGCATCTTGCACAGGACATCAACCACGAGTAGAAACAACATGGGGGGGAGAGAGTCTCCTTTTTTTAAGACCCCTCTAGCAAGTGAAGGGGTTAGTTGGGGACCCATTGACCATAACAGACGAGGTAGAAGATATCAGGATGGAATAGATCCAAAAACACCATTTGGGCCCAAAGCCTCTAGTCAGAAGGATTGACAATAGAAAGTCCTAGCTAACACAGTCAAAAGCTTTGTGAAAATCTAGCTTTATGATACAGGCTTCGATCTTTTTGGAGAAGCACTGGTTAACCATCTCATGTCCCAGAATAATGGAGTCAATGGTAGATTTGCCATGCTGAAATGCAGATTATGTGGGGTGAACTAAAGATGGGAGAAAGAGGCTTAGCCTGTTGGCTAACACTTTGGTGAAATTTTTGAAAAGGCCGTGAGGAGACATATGGGTCTGAAGTCGGAAGCATGAGTGGGAGATGATGTTTTAGGAATAAGGGATATGAATGAGCGGTTGATGAGGTGTAGTTGTGTCGTGTCTGTGAACAGGTGGTTGAAAAAAGCTAAGATGTCTGGTTAGAGAACTTCCCAAAAGGATTGATAGAAAAGGATGGAGAAGCCATCTGGACCTGGGGCTTTGTCTGGGTGAAGACCAAAGGCTGCAGCTCTGATTTCTTGTTCTGAGAAAGGGTTATCTAAAGAGTGGAGGAGGGGTGTGGTTGAGGGTATAGATGGCTCCAATCTAACTGGACAGAGGTGTTGGGATGGGCTTTGAAAATGTCAGAGAAGAATTGGAAGAATGCCTTTTTTTTCTCTTCCTCAGTGAAGATAAGGGTATTGTTGACTGTGGTGTGAGGAATGAAGTTCCTTCTTCTGTGGTGGGAGGCTATTTTGTGGAAGAAGGGGGCATTGGAATCACCCTCTTGCAGCCACTAGAGTCTGGACCTTTGTTTCTAGTAGATTTGTTCTTGCTTGGCAAGAGAGGAGATATTGTTTTCGAGGGAGTTTTTAAGGTTGATCTTTGAGGTATGGAGGGGTCTGTTTTCTTCCAAGATGTTGAGGGAATGGGTGGTGTTAAGATAAGTGGATTTGTTAGAGATGCTTGAGCCAAAGATATCCTTCCTCCATCTCTTGATTTTTCTTTTGAGGATTTTGAGTTTCAGGTGAAAGGACTGAACGAGGTTTCCTCTGCAAGATAAGTTATTCCAGCAAGAAGTAACAAAGGATGAGAATGATGGGTGGGAGAACCAGACCTTTTCCATTCTGAATGGGGGCTTAGGAGGGAGACAAGATGTATCTAAGATGAGGAAGTCATGATCTGAACATGAGGATGGGTGACAGTACTGAACTGATGATGGGAATTTAGATTCAAAGTCTGAGGATATGAAGAACCTGTCGAGTCTAGCTAGGATTGGGGGAGGATATTTGGATTTGAAATACCCTGGATTTTAAATCCAGGCCCAAATCCAAGTTCCCAAACACACCCTAAAATGATTTGTAGGATTTGTGTATTAATGTTTTTAGGGAAATTATTTTGAGTATAGCTTGTGAGTGTGGTAGAAGATAACATAATTCTGATCACTATTTTTAGCATAAGATAGTTGCATAAGAAAGGGGGGAGAAGGTTATAAAGAGAGAAAGGAACAGGGTTGAGGAGATCGTGGGATTGTTCGATTGTTTGTTTGTTTGTTTGTTTGTTTGTTTTAATTTTTAAAGGAAATTCAATTAGTTGAGGTATTTGAGATCGATGAATTTTTAATGAATAGAAATAGAGAAGCCAGAACGTGGAGGGGAGAGATTTTTACTCAATTACTCTTTTTGAATTTTCGAAAGTGCTGTAACTTTGTGTGGTTATTTTGGGGAGATTTTGGGTTTTTTTTTTAAATGAAGCTCACGGGCCTAAACTTGAGACTTTTCTTAAATAGTAGAAACAGAAGAGGTAATAGATTATGGATATTTTTAAAATATTTTGTGGGAAGTTAACGAGAGGATTTTTAAGATCTTGGGTGTGAATGTTATTTTAATGGTTTACCAATTTTGTCAATTACAAATATCTTTAAAAAAACTGAAGATGTAAGGACATCCTTAGATTTATAGAAATCGTGACAAAAAAGGATATAACACCAAAAAAGTGATCCAAAAAACTACCTTTGTTTAGTAAGTAGTAATAGATGATTTATGTTAATAGCTTTTATTCATATCACGATTATGACCGCTACCACAAAAATGCAAGTTTGAAATATTATCACATTATGAAACATTAAATCTTCTGATTGTTGTATGGAGCAGTTATTAGATGGCCGTCAGTTTGTCCCTCAATCACCAATCTTGACTAGTGTTTTACCGACACACATCTAATTATCTATCATGATTTGCAGACTTTGATGCTCTAAAAGGTAGTAGCTTAAATGCATATCACGTCACCAAGATACTAGCCAAGATCATGAAAAAACATATCGTCTTATTTACTCAAATTTATATCAGAATGAAGAACAAACTTTACACTTCACTAATATATCAAAACAAGGTCACATATATTTTCTCTTGTTGTTGATTAGGATAGATTTCCAACATGTAAAAGGATGAGCACTATTAGAACACTCTGTTAAAGTAAGAGAGAGAGAATCTTGAGTAAATTTCCATTGAGTTGAATAATGAGTGTACACATATATTTATACAAGTAGAGGAAGGTGAGATGTGTTCTCACAACCAATGTGAGACTAAAACCCACTACAATACATTATTATCAACAGCCCCCCTCAAACTCATATTGGATGAAACAAAGTGAGTTTACGTATAAGAAACTGGAACCGATGAACATGTTAGGCCTTTGTGAAGAAATTTGTAAGCTCGTCAGTGGATGAGACACGAGGAAGTAGAATTGTCTTGTCATTGATAACTTGTTGACGGATAAAATGAGCGTCGATCTCAATATGTTTTATCCTCTCATGAAATACTGGATTATTAGCAATATGGATGACACTCTTATTATCATAGTATAGAGGAGTAGGAGTCATAACAGAAATACTAAAGTCACTGAGAAGACAACGAAGATGAATAATCTCTTTAGCTGTTGCATTGAACGATACTCTGCCTCGGTACTGGAAAGAGCAATCACATCTTGTTTCTTACTCCGTCAGGAAATAAGGGAATCACCAAGAAATATACAATAACCTGTGATAAATTTTCTGGTAGTGGAATCACCAGCCCAATCAGCATCAGAATATGCACAAAGATCTAACTTAGATGTAGCAGAAAACAAAAGAGAGCGAGTACTAGTACCCCGGAGATACCGAAGAATCCGTAATAAGGCAGCATAGTGTACAGAACGTGGGGCACTAACAAAACCTGAGACTATGAAGCGACAATGCCGTTCGTTTGAGGCCGAGAGATAGCTTGAAACGGCGATGCCGTTAATTTGAGACCGAGAGACGGTATTGAAAACAACGATGCCGTAAATTTGAGACCAATAGATGGTCTTGAAACGATGATGCCGTTAAAATAGAACCGAATGTTTAAAATAGAACCTGAAGGTTAAAATGAAACCCGAAGGTTAAAATAGAACCCGAAGATTAATGTAGAAACCCGAAGGTTAAAATGAGAACGCGAAATGCGTTAAGAGGCTACAAATTAAGCAGCAAGATTAAGATTTGGCAAAAGAACGCAGAAGCGTTAAAAAAATTTATTGGAAGGGAAATAATAACCTTAGCTCTGATACCATATTAAAGTAAGAGAGAGAGAAATTTGGGTAAACTTTTCTTGAGTTGAATATTAAGTGTACACATATATTTATACAAGTAGAGGAGAGTGACGTGTGTTCTCACAACCAATGTAGTGTTATGCGCAGCGGAAATTTCGGCAGAGTTTCTGGTGCACAATAAGAGAGAAAGATCGATAAAAATTCTTGTTTCTCAAAGGGAACAAGAATCTGAAGCCTAATATCCCATCAAAGTCGGATACTTGCTCTTCCTCTCGTCAGCTCTAGGACTGCGCGTCGAGGGATCCTAAAAAACTATTACAATGGCCACAAACTCAAACAAACCAATTTTACGTGGTTCGACAAACTACCTACGTCCACGGGACAAGGAGGGGGAGATCTACTATTAGAGGGAGAGATAATACAACTAAGGTTTATAATCACTCAATCTAAACCCTCACACAATTATCTCTCTCAAAAGCACAAAAGAACTCTTTGCACGCCGTCCAAAAAGAACGCTGCCAACACTTTTGCACCTCCTCAAATTTGCACTGCTACAGCCGCACAAATCTCCCTAAAAGCCTCTGACCTCGCTCGCACACGCCTCCAATTGCACGCAGCCGTTTTCCCCCTTAGCCTCCGCACACTGACCTAGGATTTTTTTGCTATTATTTATAGCAGGTGAATGAATCGGGTGGGCCTAAGCCGCTGTGTTCAATCTCTTCATGTGAATTCGTTCACGATTTTCAGTTCGGGTGGGCCCAAGGCCACGTGAACTTGGCTCACGTGTCTGTCATTCACATGTAGGACTAAAACCCACTACGATACATTATTATCAACACACTCCAAGTTCTTTTCTGCATTAGTATGCCTAGTTATAAAATAATTTTCTTTGGATGGCTACTAGAACAATTGATCTCCTGTCTTCCCAGAGACTTGGCCATTACCTAAAGCATGTTATTTAAGTGTTCTCGATCCTTGGATACGGTGTGCTCAAATTCTCTTCAACTCTAAGCACTTCGGTTTGGATTTGGTGGGAAATGAGAGCTCAACTATTCAAGGTTTGACATTGAAATTGCAGCTGATAAGAATCTTCTTCAAGTTTTTTAATATTTAGACCAAGTCCGAATTGTTCAAAAGAGCGTATTGTTACGTTGAAGCTCTTTCTAATGATATAGATTTTCTTACCACCTCCTCCTAAGCATACCAACTGTCTCCTTATACATAATTAAGACTAGCGCTTACCTTATTATTATAAAATCAATGGTTGAAGAGCATTCGTGTGAATAGATTTTGACTTTTTCAGATCTTATGAGAACTTTGCAAATGGGCTTAGCTGATTTTTATCTAAACTAAAGGTTAATTGCGCATGCGGATAACGTGTATTATGTGAGTATATAACTATATATCACATTTGTTCCATTTTATAATTAAGTATATACTAGTATTAAGCCCGCACCTTGCCGTGGGTATTATTTATATTTGTGAAATTTTTTATAGCACACAAATTGGCAAGTTTTATTAAGTATACACAGGGTGAATTTTTTATAATGCACATATTAGTAAGTTTTATTAATTTTTTATAATAAAGATAGATAAGATTTATATTTGTGAAATTTTTGGTAAAAGTTAAATTCATCATTTGTATCGGAAAAAAAAAAGATATGAACATTATTTTCAAAGTTAAAAAATGTTACTTTAGCTTTAGCTTGAACAGCGGATAAAGTGACGTAAACGGTATGGCGAAGGCTTTCAACTTTACTGCAGGATGAACAGTAATCTTAACATTAAGATTATATTGTATCAAGAACAGTGTTTGGTACAACATGAATAGTAATTCTGAGGTTTTTTTAAAGTTAGGAGTAGTAGGTATACCTTCTGATAATAACATTATTTTCCCGCGGGTTTCTTAATTCATGCTCGAAATGGCGTTATTAGAATAAGACATTTGCGAATAGCATTCTCACATGATGTTCATGCAATTTCATCCATTTTACTCCACGACGAAGTATTAAAGAGGGACAAATTTTTAAAACCGACCATTTTTTAAAAATATTTCCAAAAACGACATGTTTCAACAATATTTGTCAAAACCGACCTAGTTTCAGCCATCGGGCTGAAACTGGGTCGGTTTTGACGAAAGAAATTCCCAAACTTCACGGGACTTCACGTGAAGTTTAGAAGCCATTTAATTAAGCTGCTAAACTTCGTTTCAGCTCTGAAGTCGTTTTGAACTATGAAACTTTACGGGGCTTGAAATCCCGTGAAGTTTAGCAGCTTAGTTAAATGGCTGCTAAACTTCACGGGACTTTATGTCCCATGAAGTTTCATATTTTTTTTCGTCAAAACCGACCTAGTTTCAGCCGTCTGGCTGGCTGAAACTAGATCGGTTTTAACGAATATTATTAAAACGAGTCGTTTTTTAGGAATATTTTTCTAAACGGGACTGTTTTGAAAATTTGTCCTACTAAAGAGAGCACAAAGATCAAACATCACCGTTCTCATAGGGCAGCCAGATTCAAGTACAGAACTCTTGAGGTAATTTACACTCATCAGAGGCGTATAATAATCCAACATAAAGCAAACACATTAATTAACCTACTCCAAAGTCATTAAACAATTACTTGCATCCTATTTCAAAGTCATTAAATAATCTATCAACCTCCTTTGCGTCCGCTGTCGAGTCGCCATCCCTTGCTGGTGCACACAAAGTCCTATTCTGGGAGAGCCAACTAACGCCTGCATGTGAATCACCTTTGAAAATTTCAAGTGTTGTTTATTATGCAGCTTGAAAAAATAATATTGATGGTACTCCTTCGTGCAATGTATGAAGGACAAATGACGTTTTTGCTCATAGATCTAGACTGTTTGTTCTTCGTTTTTCAGGCCAAATCTCTTGAGTATCTCTTCAGTAAATCTTTTTGATCTTAAAAAAGTCCTAAAATTTTTATTATAGAGGCGGATAGACCTATTTGATAATCCAAAGGACTAAATTATTAACCCGTTAAATAAGTTTTATTTTAGCCCTTATGATCAGTTTTAGTGTTTGGGAATAACAATGATTTTGACTATTTTCTTTATAATTAGAAGGGTTAACTCTTATTCCATCTAAATAGGAGTATTAGTAAACCCCTCATTTTGAGGAGTTAACTCATTTTAACCCCTCTAGAGGGGTTAACTTAACCCTTCTATATTTTTTATGTTTGGCAAATTATAGAGGGTTAACTCACTTTAACCCTTATATAGATTTGTTGTGTTTGGCAGGTTAAGAAGGGGTTAAGTCTCCTTAACCCCTCACTTAACCCTTTGCCAAAAGGTACCCTAGAGTTTTATTGGTGCGGTTAGACCCTTAATTGTTTTTAAAAGAGTTTTTTTTAAACACAAATCCAGTATACCCGCACTAGGGAAATAGTAAGCGGTCTATCGGTAATTAGGTGATACTTTAAGAGGTCTATTTGCAAGGAACCTTTAATAAGATGTGGAAATCTTATTATATCAACCGTTTTTAATTTTGAAAAAAATAATGTTAGGGGAAAACCCCCTAACACACCACCAACCACACCCCCCTCTCCCATCGCTACAGTAAACCGGGACCCACATGGGATTTTAAAAATTTTAAAATTCCATATGAGGCACGATTTACTGTAGCGATGGGAGAGGGGAGTGTGGTTGGTAGTGTGGTAGGGGGGGGGGGCCCTAAATGAGGCACGATTTACTGTAGCGATGGGAGAGGGGAGTGTGGTTGGTAGTGTGGTAGGGGGGTGTGCCCCTAACACCACTCTTTTGAAAAAGTAATGGACGTTAAGGACATGTTAGGTTGATTTTCTGGAATCAAAGAAAAAAAATGAAATATAGGATAAGAAAATCATTAAAGGTTGATTTTCATCCATTTCCTTAAAAAAATCATGAAATAGGTTTCCTTAAAAATGAGTCATATCATCCAATAATACAGTGACAACTCAACTCATCACATCTCTTTTTTGAGTTTTAAGAAGTGAACCAAACACAAAAAATAGGAAATAAGTTTATTATAATTGATTTTCTTTTTTTATATAGGGAGAAAGAAATATGCGCTCTCATGGTGGTGGTGTTAGAGAGGCATCGTTCCTGGTGACTCGGATTCTCTGTTTTGTGGAGGAAGGGGATAGAGTTAGAGGTCTCTCCCGTGACATTATCACCCCTTCCAAATAGATGTCGTTGTTCCTCTGGAAGGAGATATTATTGGTTTAAAAGGTGTTATTCAGGATCATCATGAACATGTGATTGGTTGCTACTCTATGGGGATCATGGGTCATATGTCTGTGGATCATGCGGAGTGTTTGGCTGTCTTGGAAGGCATTCGCTTTATTCGGCGTATGAACTGGAGGATTTCAGTGGTGGAAATTGACTCTCTAAATGTTGTCTCCTTGGTGGACTCTCCTTCTCCTTTTGCTTCCTTGACTCCTATTGCGGATGAAGTTCGCGCTGATCTGACTATTACTGACTGCTCTAAAGTTTCTTATGTAAGGCGCACTGGTAATGGTGTTGCCCATTCCCTAGCTAAGTCGGTTGACTGTTTGTCCTCTTGTTTTTTTGTCTGTTTCTACCCCTTTGTTTTTGAGATACAGTGTTGTTGAGGACTTGGCTAGTTAAGTTACCCTACCTGTCTTTTCAAAAAAAAAAAAAAAAACCCTCCAACCCAACATCCAAGAATGATTAATCTACACCTAATGTATCAGTCTTTTCATTTTTCATACCGAGAATATCTTCTTATTCGTCCCATGATCACCCATTTTTCTTAAAGCTCAAGATTCGGGTGGTGGCCACTCATCTGCTAATCACCTTGATTTATGGCTTACTTTGCAATCCTTGTTGCCTTTTCCTTCAATCACAGGGAGTGTGGGCTTCTGTTAGGTATATTAATGTTAGTTTTACGTTAAACCGTTACGAGGAGCACCGTCCGATCATGATCAAACTGTTCCCAGCTTGGGACGTTCTACCTTGATCATGATGTACCTAAGATTAGATTCTTCAAAGCTTGCTTCACGTTGCGGAGTAACGTTAACGCACCTTAATTCTGTTAGATAACTGAACATTTTCCATAATCATGCACAAATAGTTATTTTGGGAGGAAGAAAAACAAAGATCAAAATGTTGATGGGTGACGATTTTCCACAATTAGTTAGTGTGCTCTCTTTTCTTGTATCAAGTCATGGTCCACTAGCTAGGGCTTTCTTCTGAAATGAGACAATGAGGAAAACAAAGAAATGAAGGTGACTTTTTGCCTACCCGCATCATGCATCCTCCTAATATCTATTGTTATCTTTGTACATTTCTCCCAACTTTTCACTTTTTCCTCTGATTCTAGACGAGTTCAAGTTCAACGCGTTCTTTTATGCATAAAATAGAGGTATATAGATGGTAAGTTTGAAACTTCAATAGTAAGAAAGCGCATAGAACATAAGCTTGAACAATAATCTTGACAAAAGACAGCTAAAACGCTTTTATGTAAAAATGAAATTTGTAGAAATTTTGGCCTCTTACTTTGCATGGCAATGAATTGGTCCGAGTACATCTACTGTTTAGAAAAAAGTTGCAGCCTTACTTCTAACAACTCCTAACCAAACAACTCAAGTGCCTTTCAACGCAACCCCGTGCAGAAGAAAAAGTGTTGGTGTGGTTTGCTTAAACATCTTGGCATTGTCAAAAGCAAGAGAATGATCAAATACACACTTGAAAGTTTCATGCACAACTAAACAAACGAAAGGATGTGCAAGAAAAAGCAAATAGTATGCAAATGAAGTGGTTCCTTTTTTTTATAAGAAAATGCGCGGGGCTAAATCTATTGATAGCAAAGAATAACTGATTTACAAAGATGAGAATATAGCGGTCAAAAGGGACAAGAATAAATAATGTTTTATGCAGCGACAAATAATCAAGTCACAACTTCGCTAAACATGGAGCGCTCCTCACAATGTCTTCCGAGTTCAGCCCCTTATAAAGTTGTAAACACGCTCATTCATTGTGTTCTTTCCAAATAGAGTGATAATATACATACTCTTTTAGAGACAAAAGAACTGATATGAAATGATTTTGATGAAAAGAGTAAAAGCCATGATGATGTGTGGAAATCCTTCACATTGAGGAGCCGTGACGAGCAAGCATTATTGAAATGACTTTGCCTTGTGCTAACAAAAGAAGCTTATAGTGGGTGCAACAACTTTTGCATGGTTTGAACAAGGAAAAACCTTGGGATCCTTACCACCCAAATTTCATTCTTACACAAAGCAAATCAAAACCTAATCTACCAACCTCAAAACAACTCAGCTTAGTGTCATTTCCTCCTCCTATATAAACTCCCCTTCACCTTGCTATCTGCACCATCACATCAAAAATTTATTAACAGACTTTGCCTCATCATGGAGAAATGCATGCTCTCTTGTTTCATCCTCCTGCTTTCCCTTCTATTCTCCCACTCCATTGCTAAAACTCACTATCATGACTTTGTCGTAAGTCTTCTAACTCTTGATTCGACATCTTTTAGTCCTTGCATTGTGACTCATGTATTTGAATGCGTTGAAACTTAACAGGTACAAAAAACACCAGTGAAGAGGCTGTGCAAGACTCACGACATTATCACGGTGAATGGGATGTTTCCAGGGCCAACTCTCGAGGTCAATAACGGCGACACCCTTGTCGTTAATGTAAAGAACCAAGCTGAATATAACGTCACAATTCATTGGTATGTATATATACATATACACACACATTATACTTAAGAATGCGTAATTTAATGCGTTAGTGCTATTATTGGAAATAAACTAATAACGCATATAGCTCAATCACTTGAAATATTAACATCACTTGATTTTTTGGGTTTTAGGCACGGAGTTCGACAGATAAGAACAGGTTGGGCCGATGGGCCTGAGTTTGTAACCCAATGCCCCATAAGGCCCGGAGGGAGCTACACTTATCGGTTCACGATACAAGGGCAAGAAGGGACTCTATGGTGGCATGCACATAGCTCCTGGCTCAGAGCCACAGTGTATGGAGCCATAGTCATTCATCCTAGAGAGGACTCCTCTTATCCCTTCACAAAACCTGAAAGAGAGGCTCCTATTCTTCTTGGTATAGAATCTTAACTTAATGTCTCCTCTTCAATATCGGACTGTGACATTTATTTGAAAATAGTGTTATTGCATATGTACCTTCCGTAGGACAGCGTGTGACACTTAATAGTTACCTCATTAGTTTGATATCAGCAGATACACGCTGACTGATATTTTCTTTAGTCTTCTATCCTCGGGGGTCTATTTGCCAAAAAAACAAAAGCAGGCATCCCCAGGATTTTAAAAAAAATATCACGGTTTGTATATCTCAATATCAAACCTGAAAGGTAATAAGTGGTACAACTCGACGCTACAGCGGGTATCTATGAAACTAATAGTTAAAAACTATCCAATTCTTGAGGTAAAGGTGGACCCAAAGATGCAACTAATAGTAGGCCCACAAGGGATGATGAAGATATGTAGCTTCTTGTCGATTGGATGGGCAAACTCATGACATATGGCACAATAGTCTGTTGTTGTTATCAGTGTTTGCTGTAGAGAAACACATGATAGTACTGACAAAAGGCTCAAAGCAAGTAAACTAATAATAATGCAGTCTGTGAGGTTCACACACCCTCATGACATAAAAGTAACAACAAAATAATACTAGCTTTACATGATTCCACACTTTCATGTGATCTGAAAGTATAAAAAGGCTACCTCCTCCACGGCATAGATAACTATTAATCTAGAATCTCTCCTGGTTGATATTTCTGAACACAACCCATATATTTATTTAACTTTCTATGGAATTAACTAAAAAAGCCTATTATGTTATGGCTCAAGTTTGCAGATAGTTTCTGCATTAGATTTTAAAAATTTGACTCTTGGGTATTTTTCTACTACTCTTGTAAAAAATATAATGCAAGTATTTTCCCCACATGCAGATGCAATGTCAACAGGTCGTTAGCCATCCCCTCAGAAAAGAAACTTTTCCTATCAAATTGAACTTAACAATATCAACCACACACCTCTAGCAGATAACTAGCAATGAAACAGTCAAGTTTAGTAAATAAAAAAAATGGAATCTTCTGTGTTAGTTGTTAAAATTGCTGCTACTAAAGGAAAAATAGAAAAAAAGACTGTAATAACCTTCAATTTGATGATGATGATGGCAATGATAGTGACAACAAGATCAATGATGAACAGGAGAATGGTGGGACGCAAATCCAATCGATGTCGTAAGGCAAGCAACAAAGACAGGAGCAGCCCCCAACACCTCCGACGCCTTCACCATCAACGGCCAACCTGGTGATCTCTACAAATGCTCCGGCAAAGGTAAGAACACAACACCTCAATTTTATGTTTTAAGTGTTTTTTTAGAAATTAATCCCTCAATGACCAAAATGCCACCATCTTATGTTTTCGGTGAACACGGGAGTTTTGAGAGGGATCACAAGCTGAGGGTATTTTACTATTTTAGTCATCGAGGGACCAATTTGGAAGACCCCATAAGATTTGAGGACTGATATTGAAAAAAGCCTTTTGTAAATTTGCAGCAACTAATGCGTTTTTTTTTTTCCAAATATTGTAAACAGATACCACGATAATACCAGTAGCCCCCGGAGAAACCAACCTCCTCCGGTTCATCAACGCTGCCCTCAACAACGAGCTCTTCGTCTCGATCGCTGGCCACACCATGACAGTCGTCGGTGCTGATGCGTCCTACACGAAACCCTTCACAACGTCCGTCCTCATGCTCGGCCCGGGGCAGACGACCGACGTCCTCGTCACCGCCGACCAACCACCCCCCGCTACTACATCGGTCGCCCGTATCCTACTCCCCGCGCTTCAGGGAGTTCCTTCGACCGAACACCACAACCATCTTGATTACACCTGCAGTTGCTCCAGCAAACCCGGACTCAGCATTCCACCATCCCTTCCCACACTTCCGGCGTTTAATGACACTAACACCGCCACGAAATTCACCACCAGCTTCAGAAGCCCTAAAAAAGTTGATATTCCATCTCCAGTCGACGAGAACCTCTTTTTCACCGTCGGTCTTGGGCTTTTCAACTGTCCACCTGGAAAAACTTGTGGCGGGCCAAATAATACAAGGTTTGGTGCTAGTGTAAACAACATATCATTTGTGCTTCCATCAACATTCTCTATCCTTCAAGCACATCACCAGGGCGTGCCGGGGGTATTTTCCACAGACTTTCCGGCAAACCCACCGGTCCAATTTGATTACACTGGGAATGTTAGTCGTAGCCTCTGGCAACCAGATCAGTCAACTAAAGTGTATAAATTGAAGTTTGGTTCAGTAGTTCAGCTTGTGTTGCAGGGAACTAGTATTTTCGCAGCTGAGAATCATCCAATACATATACATGGATATGATTTTTACATACTTGCAGAGGGTTTTGGGAACTTTGATGCATCGAAGGATACAAATAAGTTTAATTTGGTCGACCCACCGCTGAGGAATACTGTAGCGGTTCCGGTGAATGGATGGGCGGTAATCCGATTTGTTGCAGATAATCCTGGAGTATGGCTGATGCATTGTCATTTGGACGTTCATATTACTTGGGGACTGGCGATGGCGTTTTTGGTTGAGGATGGGGTTGGAGAATTGGAGGCACTGGAAGCACCTCCTGAAGATCTCCCTCTATGCTAGGTAGAGAGCTTCAGTAATAGAAATTTTTATGTATTAGTTTGTTTCTTCTGTTCCTTTAGTTTATTTAGTTCATTTTGGCGTTATTGGTTTAAAATTATGTGAGAGGATTTTGGAGGTCTTGAACCTCACTATTGGTTATGTTATTTGGTATTTGATTCAGTAATGAGATATTTATTTTATGGAACTACCTTTATTTCATTTCACTGGTTGACTTGTCCTGGCTCTTTCAATAAGAGACCTCAGGAATCTATTGGGTCTTTCTTCAATTCAATTCAGTAATCTGCAAAGGAGAAGCAATTTCTTAACTCATTTCCTTTGTTCACTAGACAATCTCTTGCAAGAAAGGATTTCGTTAGGAGTCCTTCTGTCTAAATTGCTGGAAGCAAGAAAATATTTGATCATGATAGGTCAAAATTGCCAGAGGAGAAGATTAAAGAGGCAAGGGCACTTGAATAGAGAATACCAACAGAAGGTAAAAGAGGTAAGTGCAAAGTTAGGGTAAGATAACACATACTCTTCCAAGCAAAAACTGCTCTGACAAAAATATCCTCCATAGAGAAAACATACATCAAGTTATATAAGACTCACTACATATTTTGATCACTTTGGATAAGGTACAGCAGTATACAGACAGTTAACTAGCATAATTGTAGGGAATCCTGACCTGCGCTGAGTCTATGAACCAAGTCCAGAAGAAACGAGACTAGGCTACAAACTTCAAACACCGTGTATCATCATGAATGACCTGACAACGACATGAACAGAAACGCATTCCACACTTCACACATGTATAGTTGGCGGTAAAACCACACACAGTGCAAAAATGACGACGAGAGTTAGCACTTGGTGGCCCCACTGCTGCCCTCAAATAAGTAGGAACATGTGGAGGTAAAGATTCCAGATTTGCCTGTTGCGACACCAAGTGATTAGCCAAATTAGTAAGGTTTAGTTAAAAGTACATGATTTAGCAACATAGTGATTGAACTTTTCTCACGTTCCAACTTTGCTAAGACCTACCAACCTCACAGGTTGAATTTCTAGACAGTGTCTGATTTCAATCTTATTTTGATGTGGTCATATTATGGACCGTCAAACAAAATCCAGAGGCATATTCTAATTGGGAAATGAGGATTAGTGACTTGAGCAAGAATTCTTTAGTTAGTCCTATCTTTTCTAATTGATTGACATCTGACAAGCAGACATTCGAGAAGCAAATGCACAAAAAGGTAGCCCATCCCTTTTCCATGGTTATATTATACACCTATATCAATTTGTGTTAGGAACTTGACACCAATTCAAAAAACATTGCCAAAAAAAGTCCTTGATTCTTGATGGAGGCTGAGTAGGAATCCCATCTTGTTCAGATAGAACTTGACATGATGATAATTTAGTTAATCCCATTCAATCATAGAGGCTAAGACATTGATGATAATTAATGATTTTTCGGGGCTTGAAGTTCCAACTCTCAAGATGAATTTGTATAGATATTAAAGAGACATGGAGTTCACTAACCTCATGTAACACCTCCAAGAATGTCCTAGGTGCCTTCTTTGCATTCTCCAATGCTTTTGCCTGTCTGGTTTTGCGCTTTGTACTCTTCGACTGTTTCTTTGTGAACACTGAAACATTTTATGAACGTTAATATCGAGTCAAATTTTGATCAAACTTAACTAAATGATATGAAAATGTTAGGTCAGTGGCATGGCAAGACTCTTTAAGCTCTAATTAGCCAGTTGACCTTGTGCATCGCTCTCCTAGAACACATATGAGTATATTTTTAAAGGCCCAAATAGATGCTAAAATTCGTTGATGAACAGAAAGTCTGGCCTCAATATTTATTTGTTCTTTCGTTTCTTCTGCTTATTCCGATATTCTCTTCTTTATCTTGATTGTGTACCTTCTCCTCGTTTATTCTCTATAACTGATTAAGCAAATTATAGGTTGCAAGTGTCTTGCAGGTATAATTAACTTGTTCCCGTTACCGCAGCAAGAGAAAATTAGATGTCCAAAATGTTGAACCCAAAAATAAAAAAGTTAAAAAATTAAAAATATCTTAGAGCACTAATATTGCCACATTAACTAACATTTACATTGCTTATCAAGAAGCATGGAGTCATGGACACATAAGCTACTTTTCAGAATTCGAGAAGGAGCTCATATATGATGACCCGAAAATGAGATGAATTTAAAGAATGAAGTATCACTGTACTGACTTCTGACAATTATTCACGTTCAAAAAATGCACTTTAATATCTTAGGAACTTAACCCATTTCTAAAAAGGAAACTATTTTAAAGGAAGATGCTTCTACTCTCATCATCCATCCGCATATTTAGTTGTGACTTGTGAGGGACAAGACAACAGGAGTGAAATGCTACATCAAAAGCAATCAAGCAACAATATTTTCATGTTGATTATCAGTTATATGTCTTATGATAGAATTATAAAGTTTTAATGGCGTTGAGAACTCCCCTAAGATATCCTACGTATTACCTCTAACTGATTTCTGAAAATCCTCTTAACGGATCTCTAAATATGCTCTTGACAGTATCTAAAAAATTAATAAAGCAAATATCCATATAGACATGTGATATGATATAGAAAAGGAGGCAATACCTATATCATCATCATCCAGAGAAGCATCACCATCGTCATTAAGATCTACTACCTCAACTCCAGCATTGTCATTTTCTAAAGCCTCAAGACGTGCAAGTGCCGCCTGTATATCAAGGAAGCAAACAGAATTAATAAAATATTGGCCAAATATTTAACACCAATTTAAATTAACTCTGCATTGGGACATAATTCTAATAATGTATAAATCAATGGAACAAATTCTTATTAAAGAAATATGTATCATGCACCTCATCTCATTACTTCAAAGAAAGCAGATATTATGTAAGTTTGCTGTCTGAACGTCCAAAAGACAAAATGTCTAACTTGAGGATTGAACTCCTACATCCATGGAATCAGGTCGAACAACACGTTGCATTTCAAAATGGGATATGAAAATTAAAGATTATCACTGGTTACATCAACCCGATAATTCTTGTTAATCCTAATGCTAAATATGTTCATTCTTCTAAAATGATCCCTGACCTTGATTCGTTTACGAGGCTTCCCGATAACAGGTGAACTATTACTAGCATCAAATGTACAATGAACACAACAGAATATATGACTACATGAAAAATTCCCTAAGGACCCAAAATATGGGACCAATAGGGGGACAGGTGAGGTGTCCCTCTCCTGTTGCATAATGAGTTGTCCATCATTAAGGTGTGGTGTCCCCCTCCTATTGCATAATGAGCTGGTCATCATTAACGATGGATAACTCATTATGCAATAGGAGGGGGACACCTCACCTGTCCCCCATGTTGGTCCTATATTTTGGGTCTTGTAGCAAAGCTCATGACTACATATACGTTACTTGATGTATTCATGTCCGTTTCTCGAAATATTCGAGCTTGTCACTACCAAGAAGCCACCTTTCTTAACAATTTTAAGCTTAATTTTCAGACTCATTCTTAATTTTAGATGCTTGTACACTCTCCATTGTTAAAAAGAAATAACAACTAAACTACCTAATGTTTTCCGCAATAGAGTGAGATTAAAATTCTAAGAAGAGGAAGGAGAATGCTCACCTGAGTTCGATTGTCGGTGCTGGCGAGAGCGGCGGCCATCTTTCCCGCCATCTTCCGTGTCCGGGACGAGGTCCGGCGAAAGGGGCCGATGTTCTCCTCCTCCTCCATTTCAGCAAAGCTATCAGAATCTAGGTTTAGGGTTAGGGTTAGCGTTAGGGTTTTGCGAGGAGAAGGTGAGATTTTGTCGCGAAAATGAAAACTTTTTACCGGATTTTGGCGAATGAGAACGCGGGGGAAGAGAACAAAGAGGGGCGTCTAGAAATTAGGAGGAGGTTCTTGAGAGAAACGGGTAGTTGGGTCAGGACCCGATATACACATTTATATGCAATAGGGTCAATTGCAGATAAACCCCCCTTAACTATCGCCCAATTGTGAATAGACCTCTTGCTGAGATTATATAGTCTCATTGTTGCATATGGATCCCCTAAATAAAAAATTTCAACTCTTTTTTATCCTTTGATGATAGTACACAAAGTCTATCTGCAATTAACCCTATCTAATAGTGGTAGGGCTGAGCAAACAATCAGTTTGATCGACTTTGATAAATTGACTAAACTGAATCGGATTATGCATTTAGATGAATCATATTGGTGTTAAAATTACTACCTAATTACCATGAACCAGGATGGTATTAAAATTAATACCTAATTAACAGATTGATATTAAAAGAAATTCGAAATACGATAAGCTATTTGACACTTGCATGACGTGACAATTTGGCCCAAAAATTTCCCCGGCTAAAAAACTCAGACTACCTATCATGTGCTCTGTCACGTGTTTCTTATGTGGCATATTTAAGCCGATGTGGCAGTGGCGGTTGATCACATTGATTCTAATAGAAAGAGGAGAAATTTCAATCTAGGGCTCAAAATTGGAGGTTTTTGAAATTAGATCATTCTCATCTTCTCCCCTTGAGGGTTGAAATCGGGCTCTTTCCCAACGACAAATAATCTTTATCATCTCCGTTATTCGTCCTTCGATGATTGGGCTTCACGAATTTAGGCTAACGAAAACTCCCCTACAATTGTTAATGAGAGAGAATAATTTCTGTCACCTCCGTACACTTTCTCTTTTCTCTCTCTCAAAGCTTAGCGAGAGAGGAAATGGAGGAAATGTTAGGCGAGAATTTAGTTCTAGGGCAGTTAGTCCCCCCCCCCAATTTTCACTATCACGTCGCTCATGTTTGGATCCGGATCCTCTCTAATTAGGAGGTCGTAGTCTGAGAGAGTCCAGTTCTCTCAATTTTTTACTGTCCATCTCAATTTCAATGAATGAGATCACACCACATAATTTTTCAATTGTTATCTTGAAAAGCACTTTTGATTTTGAAAACAACTAAGAAACTATTATTTATGATAGTAGATATCTTGCATGGCCTGATCTTACCTATTGGAATTAAGATAAATGGTAATGATTGAGAGAATTAGATCCTCTCCAATACTAGCTAATTTGAGAGGATCTAAATCCTTCGCGTTTAATTTAAGAAAGCCACCTAAGCCTCATAAGAGAGCATGAGATAGGTGGTCAAAAAAGTTCTACTGATATTTTTTGTTCCAATTTGTCATGCCTTGCAAATTTTAATACCTTATTGTCAGAGTAATTTCTTTTAAACCAAATTTGATCATTAAGTAATATTTTTAATACAAATTTAGGCATTCAGAAATAAGCTATTTCTCAAAAGATACGAACACGGGGATAGATGAAAAAAATAGTGATTAAATTTAAATGAACTGAAATAACTAAAATTACGGAAAAAGTGAAGGAAATCTATACCCAACGGAAAAGAGTGTATACTTTTAGGAGTTGTTTGGTTAGTTTTTCATAAATGTAAGGAAAAGGAAAAGGGTGTAAAAAATATTTTTCTATAAAAAATTATGAAAGTATTTATGATAATGTTAAAAAGTATTGTTTTCTTATTCTTAACTCTTTCTTAGTCTGATTCAACATATGAAACTAGGGAATTCAGCTTTATAGTTGACATATTCTTTAGTTTGGTTGGGTATGGAAATTTTATGGAAAATTTAAAATTGAGTCAAGACACCCCATGTGAAAGTTATCACTCATGAATGAGCAAATGAGTTGTCATATTTTCAAGCAAATTTTGGCCCAAAATGGATAGGAATTAGATTTTCTATCTGTTTTCTACAATATGAAAACTCTTTCTGTAAAAACTTGGTTCTCCAAACTGAGTTTTAGGAAATCTTCAGAAACCATTCAATTACTAAAATACCATTATCAGATAATTTTCATAAATTCTTTTATAAAATTGGTTAACCAATCAGCCTCTTAGACATTGAGAAAATAATATAGTGCATATTAATTTTTATTTCAACCTTGAAACTTATCCAACTCAAATATATTCATATTAACCAAACAACATCTAAAATATATTTGTACTTTAATAACTTTTTTTGAAGAGTGATTACTACCTAATAGACACTACACACACAAAGGTCATTTGTGCGTAATTTATCCAAATAAATAAGCACCCCCACCAAAATAAAGGGAAAATAAAATTTAAAATCCAACAAACCCAAAAGCATCTCCTCTCCAAAATTCATTTCACCAGAAAAATTTTTCAAAATCATCTGAACAGAATTTTTTTAAAGAAATAGACTCAATTCACTTTTAATTATAGAAATCGACCAACTTTAAATTAATTGTGGTACTAATTAGTCGGGATTGTCAACCCCGACTAATTAGTAGCCTAATTACAAGTGGGGTCAAGGAGCGGAGAAGGTTTGCGGCTGCTAATTAGTCGGGGTTGGCAACCCCGACTAATTAGTATCATAATTAACTCAAAGTGAGTCCATTTTTATAATTAAAAAAATGAATGAGATCTATTTCTTAATCTAAATAAAAAAATTCTTGTTGAGACGATTTTAAAAATTTCTTCCATTTCACCACCCCTACTTCCCCAAAAAAAACGAACAAATTTAAACTCAACAAAAAACCCCCTCCGCCCCTCAAAAAAATTTACTCTCACTCCCAGCCCTCTCCCCCCGCCATGGCCGCGATCCCTCTCTGCCCTTCTCCAAAATCTCGATCCCGGGCCCACCCTCTCCTCCCTCCTTCGCCACTCCTCCTCCGCCGCCGGCCTCCTCTTCGGCCACATCACCTCTCCCCTCCCCGCCCCGCACCGACGACACGTGACCCGCCTCCGCCTCCTCCCTCCTCCCTCCTCTCCCTCACCGTCACCTCCTTCATTCTCCTCCCCCTCCCCCCTGCCCCTTCTTCTCATTCCTCGGCCAGGTGGACCCCCCTCCCCCCCTGCCTGAACCCTGACCCAAACCCTAGCTCCTCCGTCGTGGTCTGCGTTCTCCTCCCGCCCCCCCCCCCACCTCCGCCCCTCCATGCGCGAGCTCGCCGCCTCCCACCACCTCGCCCAAACCCTAACCCTAGCCCCAACCTCCAAAACCTGCGTCTTTCTCCTCCTCTCCTCCTCCTCCACATCCAATCAGGCCATCCACACTCACGAGTACCGAGCTTACTTGCTGACGAGGCCGTCGATTCTCCGTCCGGTGTCCGTCGATGTCATCAACGTGGGTCCTAAGTTTAGGGGTCAGTACGGGGCGTTTTTGCCGGAGTCGTCGATGGCAGGGTTTCCGTTGATGCAGTGTAGGGCAAGGGTTTCGGACGAGGGGGAAGGGTATATGGACACGGAGAGTTCGAATGCGAGCGAGAATGTGGTGGATTGGAGTGTGGAGGGGTTTGGGGTGGAGAGGTTGGAGGGGTTGATGGGAGAGAAGGCGGCCGAGTACACGAGGGAGTTGGAGGACTTGTATGGGAAGATGATGGGGAAGCTTGAGGGGTTGGTCAGGTTGGTGGAGGCGAGCTCGGTGAAGGTCCATGAACAGGTATAAACTTTTTATTGGTTTTTGGACTAGTTTAGAATCAGATAGTTCGATCTTGTTCAATAATGGTGGAAAGTAAGATTATTTAGTTTTATGCGTTGATTGTGGAAATATTATTAGTCGAGTATGATGCCTATTTGCTTAAGAATAGTTGTGGAAAGTAAGATTATTTAGTTTTATGCGTTGATTGTGGAAATATTATTAGTTGAGTATGATGCCTATTTGCTTAAGAATAGTTGCTCGTTGTGGTTTTTCGTGTGTGTGCATGTATGATTCAAGCTTACACTTAAAAAATGCCCTTATAGGTCTTAGTTTGGACATGTTTCTTTATTTGAAGTTTACGCAAGCTGTGATTTTGTGAGGGTTGTGCATACATTTTTTATTTAGGTTGTTTGTATTACTTAATTTACCCCGCCCCTTCTCTAGTTGCCATCTAGTTCATGTGTTTCAGTTCATGGTGATTTCGATTTGCATTACCAAAATTGGTGAAATAATAGAGAAAAAGGTTTAGGAGGAACATCGATTCATTAATCTCATTTGATGTACTTAGTGCTTTTATTAATGGAGTTCTGTGTGGTTATCAAGACTCTAGTATGAATATAAAAATTACTATATCTATTTAATGTAATTGAGCTTGTGTTCATGTTTTCTACATAATAGTAGTTTACTTTCTATCTTTCGAATAAGTATTTGCTTCATGGGCAGTAGGAAAATTGACATTCTACACATATCAAAAATCCCTTTTTAGCAGCGGCACAGAACCCAAAAAAGCAAAATTTCGAACAAAGAACTTCAAATGTCACAAAGAACATTAAATTACTATATATTCAATATCAGTGTGCTGTCAAATTGAAGATGTGTAAGATTAAGTTTCTAATTGAAAAGCCTACAAGTGAGAATTTGATTTGATATATTTTCTTTTTTTATCTTAATTTCCTAATTCACATGTTATTTGTAAAAGATGAAACCAAAAATACTAGAGTATTTAGCTATTATGTAGCATCTAGATATTGTTGGCGATTGGATACACACAGATAGATTTCATTAAACATAGATCCTAATAAATGCTATAGCCTATAGGCTAAAAAATTAAAGCTCTAATCTGATGGTGTTTTCTACTTTATGTTTCTAAAAATTATTTATTTGATATGGTTTAGTAGATTTCAAAAATTATTTATCAAATTGGGTAAAATAAAAGCAGAATAAGTGATATAGTTTTAGTAAAATATGCAAAGGAAAGAATGATTATATTGTATTTATTGATAGGCAAGAAATACCCAAGTAGTTATTTCGCTATGTAGGGTAAATCATTTGTTAGTTGTTACAATGGTGAGATCGAAGATGATGGGGTTCACCAAATCAAACCGGGATGGTTAGAGTGGGGGAGTGTTTCGGGAGTCATGTTTGATCATGGAATACTTATGAAATTTAAGGAAATTTCTATAGATAGTTACATGATCAACAATATTTTATGGATCATAATACTAGGCAATCAAGAAAGTGTAGAAAATGAATGTAGAAAATTTAAGAATTTTATGATGCACGTGTGAATATAACCCAAGAAATAGAACAAGAAATTTGGGCGTTCACGGAGAGGTAGCTTCTATTGAGAATAAATGGGAGAAAATTGACGGAGATGGTTTGAACATTAAAAAATTAGGCTATGAAATACCCCTAGTTGGTAGTAGTGATGAAATTATAATTAATGGAGCTTGAAGGACTAAAGTCCAGCCTTAGGGAAGTTGATTGGAAGTAATAAGGATTATTAAGGAAGGATACCACAGTGGTTAACTTAATGAAGGGATAGCCTTAATAAAACTGAAGGAAGAATATGATTTATGTAGCTGACCGCTAAATTTTGGGATGGAAATTCTATTATTATTGTTGATAGCATTCTAAATAAACCTTTTTATATATGCTTGTACTTAAATAAAGCTGAAAAGATGATTAACTACTATGTGATTATTAGATTTATGTATAAGTCATTAGATTCATTAAAAAGTAAAAAATAAAATAAATTGTACTCTTATATGTTTCAAATTTCAAAATATGCTTAATATCCCACATATCTCATAAGAGAAAAAAGCGGGACAAGGATCTAAACTATTTACTTTTAAGAGTATTTATAGGTTAATTGATAAAGATCACATGTCTTTAAATGTGTATTGCAACTTCTTTGTTCTCATGCACAAACATATAGATGTACACAAAACAAAACAATTTTAGTGGTTGCTTCTCTCGTTTACCATTATCCAATACTGATCTGATTAGGTTTATGTCCTTTGTTCCACGTGTAACTTAAAATAGCATGCCTTACATCCATACTTGTACTATGAACAAAAGTGTACAATAAATCTAGTTAGTTGCTTAGTTTAGTATATGTAAACTTTTAATGGCCATTCATTAGTGTGCTATTTAGGTTTGTGTCTGCTTAGTAGATAGTCCAAGCAAATCATAAAAATTCTTAATTGAGAAATGTACTATATAAGGAAAAGAAGTGGATTTTCTTCACATCAATGTTTTAAAAAGCGGTCCAAGCTCTCGCCTAGGCCTAGATAGTACCTAGGCCACCTGCCTAGGTCTTGATAGCGTTTAGGGGAGCGTGAACTACTTACGTGAATTGCACTGATTAGGTTTAACCTCCTCTGACATCCTCCGGACTCCTTCATAGACCATAAACACCTTCACCTCATTCGACCTTGAGCAAAACATCCTCCACCATTTAAATAAAAAAAACTATCTTGCCCACTCTCCCTAAGCGTTCGCCTAGGCCGTAGAAGCTCATCTCCACCTAGCGGCGCTTAGCGGCGCCTAGGGCTCTCTGTAGCATTGCTTCACATAGATCTTTAGCCCAAGTGTAGTCTATGAGTTTCTTTCATTTTTGTTCGTTTCAACACAATAGCTATTAATTGTATGAAATACAATATTCGTGATTTTTATGGGCTATAAAGAACAAACTCTGTTCATTATCATTCATTAGACCCAATGACAATTGATTATGACTATTTCAATTCGTGTTTTGATAGATTATAACCCACGATTTTGGTAGTTTTTGTGCATTTCGCCCCAATGACAACTAACTAGACATACACCAAAATTTGCGAATTTCTTGGGTTGTAACTCATGTTTTTTTGTCAAATTTTGTTCATTTTGACTTAGTGTCAATTAACTATTCTTTCTTCAAAATTTGTGGTTCTCATAGGTGGTTCTCGAAAATTTTGATTTTCATGGGCTATAGCCTACAATTTTTGTCAATTTCATTTGTTTCGACTTTATGACTATCAAGTTTCTTCAAAAACCACAATTCAAATTAGCTATTTTTATGAGCTATAACTCACGACTTCTGTTAATTTTCATGCATTTTAACCCAATGATAGATAAGTACGCGTACTTCAAAATGCACAGTTATCATTAGTTATAACCTCGATTAAAGTCCATTTTTTTGTTCATTTCACCCAATCATAATTAACTAAGCATATTTCGAAATTCGTGATTTCATGTTCTATAGCACATGATTTTAGTCTAGTTTCGACCCAATTACAATTAAATTTTATTTCATAAAGAATCACAATTTTCATTGGCTATAACTATGATTTTTACATGTTTTCCTCCAACTCAGACAAATAAGTATATATACTTCAAAATAATGATTTTTGTGGGCTATAGTCCTTGATTTTTATCTATTTTTATTTGTTTCAAGTTCAACCAATGGCAGTTAACTAAGCATATTTCAAAATTCATGATTTCGTGTGTAAAATTCATGATACTTGCTTATTTTTATTCGTTTGTCCCAATGTCAATTAATCCTGTGTATCAGAAATCACAATTTTCATAAGTTAAAACCCACAATTTTAGTTCGTTAGTTTCGACCTACTTGTGGCTAAATTTTCTTTCATTAGAATTCACATTTTGCATAGGCTACGCATGATTTTTGTCAATTTTCATTCTTTGACCCAATGTCAAATAAGTAAAATTTACAATTTTCATGGGTTATAATCCAATATTTTTGTCCATGTTTGCTTGTTTTAGCCTAATATATATTAATTATGCAAACTTCAATATTCACGATTTTCATGTACTGTAACGATTTTAATCTTTATCGTGCGCTCGAGCCAATGACAACTAATTATGACAACTAAAACTTTGTGATTTTGATGGGTTATAACCCATGATGATTTTAGCCTTATCTTGTTAGTTTCAATCCAATGACAAGTGAATTATCTTTAATGGGTTGTGCTCTATGATTTTTGTCAAGTTTCGTTCTTCGATCCAATGGCAATTAAATATTCAAACTTTAAAATCCGTGATTTTCATGGGCTATTGTCCATGATTTTTATCTATGTTTTTTTGTTTTGACCCAATAATAAATAATTGTGTGAACTCTAAAATTCGTGATTTTATCCACTATAATCCATGATTTTGTCCATTATCATTCATTCGTCCCTCCTAATGACAATTAATTATGACTACTTAAAAATTTGCGATTTTAATGTTTACAACCCACGATTTTCCATGTTTTATTTGTTTCGTCCTCATGACATAAATATACATACTTAAAAATCTCAATTTTTGTGGGTTGTAACCCACGATTTTTGACAAATTGTTTGTTTCGACCCGATGGCAATTAATTATGCATATTTCAAAATTTTGCGACTTTCTTGGGCTATATTACCCACAATTTTCAAAATTTTCGAATTTCCTAGGTTATTACTCACAATATTTATCCAATTTTCATCCGTTTGGACCCAGTGGCAATAAATTTTTCTTTTTTCAAAAATCACGATTTTCATGGGCTATAATAATGGTGTTTGTCTATTTTTGTTCTATGACCCAATGACAAATAAGTATGCGTAATTTAAATTCACGATTTTCATGAACCTTAACCCACAAAGTTTGTCCATTTTTATTTATTTCGACTTGATGGCAATTAATTAGGTTAATTTGGCATACGCTTTAAAAATAGCAATTTTTTATGCGTTATAACAGGAACCTTTTACATTTCCATCTGTTTTGACCCAAGGGTGATTAGGTATGGGTACTTCAAAGTTTGCAATTTTTATAGGGTATAACCCACAATTTTTTAGGTTTTATTCATTTTGATCCAATGACAAATAAGTATGCGTGCATAAAAATTCACGATTTTTATTGGTTTTAACATATGATTTTTGTCCGATTTTGTTTGTTTTGACCCAATGACAATTAACTAAGTATATTTCAAAATTCATAATTTTATTGTTTAAAACCTATGATAATTGCTCATTTTCGTTCTTTTCGATCTAATGGATATAAAACACGCATACGAAAAATTCACAGTTTTCATGTGTCGTAATCCCTAAATTTAGTCTATTTTCATTAGTTTCGATCTGAAAGCATTTAAATTTCCTTCCATACGAGATCACGAGTTTCATGGACTGTAATCCATGATTTTTATTAATTTTTGTTCTTCGGCCTAATGGTACATAAGTATATGTATTTCAAAATTCGTGATTTCATGGGCTATAATCCACGAGTTTTGTCTATCTTTCGTCATTTGAACACAATAGAAATTAATTGTGCGAACTTTAATATTTGCAATTTTCATGCCCATAATTTTTTGTTAGCTATCGCGCATTCAATTTAATGACGACTAATTATGACAACTTCAATATTTGCGATTTGGTAGATTATATTTTGGCACTTGTTCGATTTGTCCCAATGGCAAGTAAATAAATGTAGTCCAAACTTTTTAATTTTTATAGACTATAACTCACGATTTCTCTTAATTTTGTTTGTTTTGAGGTAGTGAAAATTAAAGTTTCTTCCTTGAAAAATGGCATTTTCATTGGTTGACAAATAATTTTTTTTCCAATTTCTATTTTATGATCTAATGACAAATAAATATGCGTACCTTAAACTTCATGATTTTTATGGGATTTAACTGATGAATTTTGTTCGTTTTTATCTGTTTCGACCGAATGACAATTACTTATGTATGCATTTTATAATTCGTAAATTTCATAGTTTTTGTGCATTTTTATTTGTTTGAACACAATGACAACTAATTATGCGTACTTTAAAATTTGAGATTTTTATGGCTATAACCAATGATTCTTCTTAATTTTTTTTGTTTGGACTCAATGACAGTGAACTAAGCATGTTTCATAATTTGTGATATCATGTGTTATAGCCCATAATATTTGCTCATTTTTTGTTCGTTTGGACCCAATGACAATTAACCATGTCGTATAAAAAATCTGTGATTTTCTATGTTATAACTCACGATTGTAATATATTTTCGTTAATTTCAAGTTGATGACAATTAAATTTCCTTTCATAAAAAATCACAAATATTATGGGTCTATAATCTATGATTTTCATTAAATTTTCTTTTTTCGACCCAATGTCATGTAAGTATGCGTGCATAAAAGTTCATGATTTTTGTCTTTTGTCTATTTCAGCCTAATAACAAATAATTGTGCAAACTTCAATATTTACAATTCGCATAGGCTGTAATTTACAACTTTTGTCAATTTTTATTTTTTCAGCCCAATGGCAATTATTTATGCATACTTCAAAATATGCGGGTTTTACAGGCTAACTAACAACTTCTATCAATTTTCTTTCTGTAATCCAATAGCAAATAAGCATGCATACTTTAAAATTCATGACCAACGAACTTTGTCCATTTTCATCTGGCTCTGCTTAATGATAATTAATTGGGCGTGCGCTTTAAAATTTGCAATCTTCATGTGTTACCCACAATTGTGCATTTTCGTTTGTTTTGACCCGATGGCAAATAATTGTGTGTAATTCACAATTCGTAATTTTTAAGAGCTATAATTTTCGTTAGTTTTTGTTCGTCTTTGCCTAGTGACAAATAAATATGCATATTTAAAAATTCACGGTTTCCATTGGGTATAACCCACGATCTTTATCCAATTTTATTCGTTTTGACCCACTGGCAATCAACTAAGCATATTTCAAAATTTTCAATTTTGTGTTCTAAAATCCATGATATTTGCTCATTTTCGTTCGCTTAGCAATGCGTACCAAACAACTCACGATTTTCATGGGTTGTAACCTACAATTTGTCTATTTTCGTTAATTTCGACCACATGACAATTAAAATTTCTTTTATAAAAATTGCAAGTTTCGTGGGCTATAACCCATGATTTCCACCAATGGTTTCCATCAAATTTTGTTCTTCAACCCAATGGCAAATATGTATGCGTGCTTCAAAATTCATGAAATTTCATGGCCTATAGTCCATGAAATTTCTTCTTTTTTTTATTAGACCCAATAACTATTAATTGTGCGGACTTTAATATTCTTGATTTTCATGCAATATAATCGACAATTTTGTCCATTTAACGTTCATTCGACCCAATGACAATTACTTATGACTATATTAATTTGCGATTTTGATGGCTTATAGCCCACTATTTGGAAAATTTTGTTCATTTCGTCCCAATGACAAGTAAATATATGTAGTTAAAAATTCTCAAATATTATGGGCTGACTCACGAATTTTTTTCAACTTTTTACCGTTTCAACCGTGTAGCCACTAGTAATGGGTACTTCAAATTTTGTGATTTTTATGGGTTATATATATTACCAATAATTTTCAAAAAATTCACAAATTTCATGAACTATAATTCACAATTTTTGTCTATATTTGTTCTTCTCGACCCAATGGCAATTAAGTTTTCTTTTCAACAATCGTGATTTTCATGGGCTAACCAATGATTTCTATCAATTTTCGTTTCTTTAGCCCAATGACAAATAAGTTTGCCTATCTTAAACTTCATGATTTCATGGGCTCTAATCTCATGATTTTTGTCCATTTTTGTTTGCGAACTACTTAGGTGTACGCATTGAAATTTATAGATTTCATGGGTATAACCCTCAACGTTTGTGCATTTTTTGTTTGTTTCAACATAATGACAACTAATTATGCGTGCTTCAAAATTTGCAATTTTATGGGCTATATGAATGATTTTTGTTAATTTTGTGTTCGGTTTGACCTAGCGACAAATAAGATGGACGGTTGAGACTACTTTCCGAAAAAGGCTAGCATATTTTTGCTTTAGGTGCATCCCGTTCTTAGTGCTTACCCAATTTGGGAGTAGGATTACTGGACGCCTATTGCCACATAAAGCCGGTATGTTATATCCTTGCATTGGTGGTTTCTCAATATGTATAGTTGAAGGTAATTCTGAAAAATCTTTTCTAGCCTAATTGAAGGTATTTCTTGCTTTAGTTTACTCAACTTAGGATTTTGGTGGTTCATTGTATGTGCACAGATACCTTTTGGAAATCTTTCTTTAGGAGATTATTCTATGAAATAACTTCTACATTATTGTCAGTGTGATTTGAGAACTGTTTACTCATCTTTCCAGTTAAGGAAAATCCATTCTTCTCTTTTAATTTGTTGGCTCTGGTTGTTTTCATATTTACTACTTTCTTCCCATCCATTCGGGGTGAAAGATAATGAGAATAAGCAGTCATAACTCCCATTTCTTTTCCTGTTGTGTCTTAGTTTTGTGTTGGGAACTACTCGTGGGAACATTTCTTGACATCTTGTTCAGTTGCTATATAATTTTCTAAATCTATGGCTATATATTTTTTAGGGCACATAATAAAGATATTCTTTTCTGTCGAATACTAATCTTAGTTACTGTAGCCTTATGTTTTCTTTTCCATCATGTCACACTAGAATAGTTTAATTGTGTTAGGTAGTAATATTTAAATATTTTCTAAAATAAAAAAATTGAAATTCAGAGTTCGACATTATTTAAAATTTTATGCAGGAGAGTCGAATTTCAGTGTTGCAAAGGAAAATGGCAGGTCTTGATTAATGAGTCCTGTGTTGTGAGGTCGTTTTTGTGCCAGAAGGTAATTTGTCAAATACTGAATAACATCTACTTTGCTGTTTTATGTTATGCATATACATCATGTGATCATTATTATTGTTGTTGGATAATATACATTTAATTTTCGCAACAAAAATTTTATGCTTTTTCATGGTATATTGTATCTTTGCTTTTGCATGCGAGACATTTGAAGTTTGAATATCATGCTATACTGACATTCTATTGCAGTACATGCTTTAGCATTTAGCAACCATCTGTTACTTTTCTTCCCTTTTCACCTGTGGTCAATGATTTAGCCATGTACGAAGCACATTTTACTCTGAAATTCACATCCTACACTAGTGTGATAAGTGAAACTGCTTAAAAATCATTTTTCGATGATGATCCATATAGTGATGATATATGAGTATAGTGAACATAAAACATGTTATGGCCTATCTGAGGAATTTTTATGGAGGGGCTCGAGGTTGTGGATTGAATGGGTACCGTTTTATCTAAAGAAGCTCAATATTAATTTTCCAGTTCCTACCCAAGAATAAACGTTTGATATGAATTTCTCCTTCCCTTGGTTTATAGTAACATAATTTATATTCATTCAGCATGATACAAAACTTGTGAGACATTTTATTGCGTTAGAAGCTGATTAGGATAGTAGAGGACCAGCCCTTGGCCTCACTCAGGTGGTAGGTTTGGTTTGGATAATAAACGTTTGTGATTATAAGCTAAATAAATTATATGCTTTCATGGCACCTTTGTCACCTAACTTGATCTTTCCACTACGTTGTCAGGATATTGATTTTCTGTTTCCATATCTGAACTTTCTGCAGACGGAAGCCCTCAAAGATGAAAACATTTTCATGGGATGAAAGCGCCAGATGCGGCGGCTAACTGGTTATGCTCTTTTGGAATGTTGTATTATCCAGTCTCTTAAATGTAAATTGCAAGTTATAATGACTTTTATTCTTATAGAGGGTGTTTGTTGTGAGGATCTGTTCGCGAGATCACTAAGATGCATCAGCTTTGTTGGATTTGTGCATGGCGGATCCCAACCATTGATTAGGGACCCATGATTATGAAGATTCATGAGGCTGAAGGCCTTTTCTTTTCTGTTGTTTCCTGTATTTGTCGGGGATGAAGTACAGTACAGTCGTGTGTGGAGTACATCTATTCCTGGGTGATTACAGTTGGTTGATTCTGGGTGAACAATGCATGGAACCAATGTTGGACATAATTTGTTCTGTATTGATTCAAATATCACTTGGGTGCATCATTAGCGTAATGAACTAGTATCAGTGACCAAGTCCGCGTGATTCTAATGCCACGGGGATTTGGAAGGTGGGACCCTCTACAAGGTTAATGTTGATAAATAAGAACAGAATCAAGTTATCGGCCTCGTATAAAAGGAACTTCCAACTCATTTATTTGGAACCGTTAGAATTCATCGTAGAATGATTCCTATATCGAAATATTGTACTCCTATTTCTTTTTTTTTCCCCTTTTTTTTGGATATCCCCTCTCGTTCGATGGACCATATTTGTTTCAGATTCTATCATCGATATATCCACAATTCAATATAGATAGATACATCCTACTGAGTATATACGCCTCCCTCTCCTTTCATTTTTACAACGTGCTTTGCAAATACTAGAAGGATTGATATTCTTTCTTCGTTTATTTCGTCTTACATCCTCCTTTTTGAACAAAATCGGAGGAACATCTGATTAGATTTTCTATTGTTGTATCTTTATCCCTATCTTATGCTTTTCCTAGGACCGATCCACTATATTATAATATAAATACAATATTAACAGAATTATAGTATTAACAGAATTTATTATATCTATTCTCTGGAATCTCAAAAATTTTATTATCATAAAAATTTTTATTTTCCATTTATAAATATTATTATTATTATATAAATTTATAAATTATTATATAAAAAATAAAAATAAGCTAATGCACTAATGTAAAAGCAGAAAAATAATCTAAATTCTAAAAATATGAAAATAATATAGAGTGTATATTATCTATGGTGATTATGTATCACAATAGAATGAAAATTAGGCAAAACGGAGGAATACACAACTGATCAATAACTTGGTAAAATTGCACATTACTATCACTTTCGCTCAAATGTATATAAGTTATGCGTGGAAACATATTTAGCAACGTTTATCAATCTAATCAAACATCGTAGATCACATACATGAAATTAACTAATGCAGCTGGAAAGATCATCACGAAGAACCGAGTTAATTTCTCCAAATTTATTTACGAACCACATCTTTATAAGCCGATTGTTTTGTTTCAGGTCAAAAGAATGTGACAATTAAGTAGTAAACCATAAGTTCTTAGTATCATGACATCACAATCCCTATTCATGCCGCATGAGACCTTGTAACCTTGTCAAATATATACGAATCCAAGTATGAAGCGGTATATCACCTGCATAGGGTGTTTTCAATTAGTACATCTAGAATAAAGTTCATATGGAGTGCCCAAAAGCTAGCTGTATTTGAAGCCTAGTCATCATCATCAGCGGGATCGAAATCTCGTATTTTCACATCAGCATCTTCTCCATATTGGATACAGTTGTCAATCATGGATAAAACGTATTGTATGCTGCATGGAAAGAGGAAAAAAAAAATGACTCCATTAATCCACAATCTAACATTGTCACATATTTTCAAATGAGTATTCACATGTCTTTCAAGTATATCCGTAGGGAAGAACAGGCAAATGCTCACTAGACATCCAATATTTCTAAGACAAAAATTGTTGAAGCTTCAGTTCTTATGTGATCAAGGTTCTCGTCAATGTAATTATGCTTCAAACAAAAAAGTATGATACTCTAGTAAAGCCAAGTTATTGACAGTAATGAAGTAATTGAAAGGACACTCCCGAAATTATGATATGATACTTACTTATTAAGGTTAATGTCAACTTTTACCAACTAAAGATATAATCAAATTAATCACAAAACTGAATGAGTTGAATAGTAATGAACAAACCTGCTTTCCTTTCTCAAATCCAGAGGCACAAAATTCACCATGTTGAACTGATCCACCTATAGAAATAAACAAAGTATTTTTCAGAATACCAGTTAAAAAAAAAAAAGGAAACTGCAGTTTGCTAATTCGTGCTAAAAACACTTCTTCTCTGGCTGGAAAATCGTGGAGAGTCTTTTCCCCCGCCAACCAAAATTTTGAGGCATTACGACAGTTGTATGCAATTTCCCATACAACATATTGGTAAAAAGTTGGTTTACTTAGGATAAGGGTGTAATGAGATATCCAATTCTTACGACTTATGAAACTTAAGAACATGAACTGTGATTGTATACATTCTTGCAAAGAAAAAATTAACTTTTTAACAATGCTGGACTCAAAAGAAGGAAAATACCAATTCTGCCAAAGCTTTATTAAGCTTCGCAAATGAAGCAGGCATATTCCGATTCAACTGTGACAACAAAATTGGCGCCTCTGGATTCAAGAAACTATTACCAAACAAAGAAAAAAGTCAGACATAGAATAAGCATCAACAGATCTAATGAAAGAAAAGCTGCAGAGGATAAAAACAGCACTCACTCTTCGATATCCTTTTTGTTCGTCACGAGATCCATTTTTGAAAGAATGTTGACATGAGGTAGTTCGAGTTGAATCATCGCAGAAAGAGATGCCATGCAGCCACTTATATACTTGGTCACATCAGTAATGAACTGAAAAAGAAATGAAAATATGAGTTCTCCAGTTGAGGGGTCAGAAACAAGTAAAGGGAAACAACCACACACAGGCTCGAAACAAACCTGTGAATCCAGCAAATAAACACAACAGACTTTGAAGTTCTTCCGCTGTAAATGTTCCACAAAGTTCTTCAACACAGGAACATGTGAAAATAGCTCTATTTGACCTGTATTGGAACAAACTTACTAAAGAATTTGCAGCATCTGCTTATCATTGTAAGATTCCTACGAAAGTGCATACATGTATAATAAACTTTGTCATATCAGCTACGCTAAAACACAGTTCAGCTGAAGTACCATTCTTAGAACTAACAAGTAATTGGTTCAATACATTCTCTATATGAGCTTACTCCAACCACAACAAGATTAAATTAATAAGTTCAAAATAAGTATAATCTTTTATCATATTTTCATAGCTGTCTATTACAAAGAGGAACAAGATCAGTTGAAGCAGAGAAAATATGAATAACATGAAATAGAAGATAATAGGAAGTTGAAAGCGAATACCTGGACAGTCAAATACAAGATAATCATCCTCCAAGTAATTCTCAAGTTCATCTTCCAGCCAGTCGTCCAAATTTTCTTGAAGGTGTCTACAAATGACTTAAGGAATTTTTTTGGGCCTGAATTGTACACAACAAAAGTAGCATCGCATATTTGTCCTGTAGCAAAAACTTAGCTATTGACAATGTTAAGAATAATATCCCACAGTGTGTCTAAGCAAGTTTGCAGCTACAAACTGGCATTGAAAATTATGAAAATGACATGGCTAATCACAATGTAAAGCAAATTGAGTAATAAAGAACTTTCACAAACGGATCAGCATTCATTTGGCTAATCGGAAAATAATGTTAATTTGTACACAGTTGTAAGAATAGCCTTTAATCATGCCGTGTCAAGAAAATAATACTTTGATGCAGTGCCAAGTAAAGTAATATAAGAATAAAAACTCTCAATAATCAATTTGTACACATGGATTCTCTTATAAACTTTTAAGTGCAATAATAACAAACAATTTTCACCAAGAAGCACAAAGAATTCTCAAGAGCAGCAACTTCTGAATAAAAATCGTCATTGTTCTTAGAAAAATTTGCTAGATAATATCGAAAATTCTACCTCTACTTTCATGATGTTCATGCACAAGAAGTCCTTTTAGCAGAATCAAGAGATCACTATAAAATAAACAAACCAAGTAAAGGATACTCCATACAGTAAATCAGACCCCCATTTGGTCCAAATCCAAGTTCCTCCATGACATCATCCAAAGATATGAGCTCCCTGATATCTATATAAAGGTAGCCACACAACAACAATCATCTGACTAATTCACCTACTAAAATCAAATACATCAACTTCAAAGAAAGATAATTTTATACCCATGGCTACAGGGTAGTCAAAGTTCTCAGCAGCCGGGTCTAGGTTCACGATATGAATAGCTCTCCGAAGAGCTTCACAGTGTTTATACAAGCTAGAGCAGTAGGTAGACTGCATTACCAGAAGCAAAAAACTTATTGCACAAGTACCTCAAACAAATATGAAATAAATAAGGGCAAATTTCAAGAAAACCCCACGAACTTTGGGGGTGCATTGCACAAACCCCCCAGAATGTTAACCTAAACTCTGGGGTGTTCACAAAAACTCGCCCAAGCTTCGAAAAGTTCCATGAACTGAAATACCCTTTTCAAACATCAGCAAAACCATAAACAAACTCCCCCAAATCTTTTACCCATTCCCCCACTTATCCTCTCTCGCCGGACAAACCCTAGAACGAAATTCTGCCGAAATTTGTGGTGGAACTTTCCGAAAGGCGAAAGCTCAGGGTGGTTTTTGTGAAACCCCACACAATTTAACAGGGTTTTCTCCAATCTCTAAAATTCAGGGATATTCTGTGCAAAATTTGGTACCTTGCCGCTGCCAGCAGGGCCAATTACAAGTTGTGCGTAACCCATAACGATCGTACGACGATATCTCAACTCTGATCGCTAGTCTCTTGATGAAAATTTGAGGAAAACGAGAACTAAACCAATCGAAACGTGACGAGAATCGCAGCAGCAACGTAAGCAGTCAACCAAACAGCCCCAGTAATCAATAGGCTCAAGATTCGAGTAGATGCCATACAAATCGGTGAACCGCAAGCATGCGATTATTTCCTGAGTCGGCAAGAAACGTAAGAAGACGATCAGCGACTATCTTATGCAAAATAAAAAGGGTAGCTTTGAGACGAAGTTCGCAAGATCACTTTTTTACAGTAAAAAAAAAAAGAGTAAATACCTAAAATTTATCGCAAATTACCTCAGAATTTCTGCGGAAATTATCGCGAGAGATTTCGCCGCGGTTCAAATACAGGGGGGGTAGAGAGAGAGAGAGAGAGAGATTTAGGGTTTTCAAATAATATTAGTGGTCACTGGATCCGACTAAACCCCTCAGCTCCAATACGCTAACAGCCCATGTAGGGCTAGTAAGGCCCATATGGCCTGCGAACGTAACGCAGGCTGAAGCGACCTGTTTTGTGGCCCTTAGCCACTTGTTAACATGCTAAATTTTCAGCTTGAAAAAAAAAAAACAATTTTCACCAAATTATACACAGAATTATCAAAAGGAATGTGTGGAATTATAGATCGAGCGTTGGATTGAATCTTTAGACCATCTCCAACCCATTGCACCAAAATGATGCAAATTTTACATCAAAATGGTACAAAAGTCACATCAAACAGTAATACATCTCCAACCCATTGCACCATTTTTTACACCAAAAAAGAATATTCTCAATATATTCTTACTTTATTCCCTTTTATCTATTTTTATATTAATTGAGAGATAAAAACAAATATTTAAATTTTTTTTAAAAAGTGAACAGTAATGGAGCGGATGAACAGTGCGACGCCATATTTGGTACAGCACTGTTCATTTGCACCAAAGTGGAGCAGAAATTGGGGATGGATTGGAGAAGGAACAGTGCAATAAAAAGCATTGTTTGCACCAAAATGGGGCTGGGTTGGAGATGCCCTTAGGCACTTTCTCCTTAATTTCTAGTGGTTTACCCTTTTTGGATACTAGTTTTTATGCGCGTGCATTGCACGTGGTTAGATATCGTAATTATTTATCTTCAGTTTATCTCCTTACTAAAATTTATTCTTCGATTTCAATTTGATAGTTTTTGCTCACTTACGCCCCAATAATTTAATATTGTAATTACTTACCTTTTTAAATATTTGTTTGAACGAGCTACACCCAATTTTAAGTTTCATGCTGATAATTGAATTGACACGAAACCAACGTGAAGCCAATTTGAATATTCATGTTATTTGGATCTACATGCAATGAAGCTTTACCTAAGGAAGTATAGTGTTGAAAAATTAAAAAATACTTGAAAAAATAGCACTAAAATAGCAAGAGGAATAATTAAAGCCAATAAACCTAGACGAATGATTAGAAGTGGCTAAAATGGCACAAAAGGGAATATGGATTTTATTCCTAATCACTGATAGACTTTATTAAAAACCATAAACTAAATATTAATGTTAACTCTAGTATAATTTTATATAATAAAAACATCCAAAAAATAAGTATATAAAAATAATTAAAAATCGGGAAAATCTCTTCCAAACATTCCTAATTTTACTCAAAAAATTAGGCTATTCTATAAAATATTAAAAAAAATATTATCTTTTATTCATTCTGTTTTATTTTTTTTATTGAGCCGAGATCAAGCCTTCTTCACTTTTATCTTTTTATAAGATAGTTTTGGAGTGGTGTCTTTATCATCTACATCGATTGTGACATAATGCTCGACCTGGATTTCTTGTGCTATTATTTTTCCCTAGGCTCATTCGTCTTTTATCTTCTCATCTAACTTTACAAGAAATTTGAATGAGAACAAATGTTAATGAGAATAAATGTTAATTTTATATATGACAATTTTTCTGTGTTTCTAATTCATTACTTAAGTTAAGTTAGGATTGACCTAGTTTTTCTTTTCAACGAATTCTTGTGTTGTACACCCAATAGGAGTTTCTACTACATGAAACACTGTTACCTTTGCAATGTCCTAAGTTATCAGAGATTCTGCAATATTTATCATTTGGACACTCGTTATTAACGTCTATACTCACCTTCTTGTTGTAGCCTTTGTAAGCGTAAAGCCACAATTCAAGTCTATTATAATTGGTAGCTATCTTTGCCTTAAAGGTATAATAGCGTATCTATATATTGGTAAATTTTAATTAGGTTTAATTGTGTTAATTATAGAGTAGATTTTTTAAGATCATACCTCTTTCGAATGTTGTGATCCCTGCATAATATCGCTAAGTTAAATTTCTGTTGTATTTGTAAAGAGCCTTGATGGACATGCTTTTATCCTTATAGCTTGTACTGAATGAACCCTGCATATTAACTTAAAAATGTAATATTTGTTGTTAATTGTGTTATATGGATATTTGCTTTGTTTACTTACCATTCTCTTGGTTAGTTGAATCTTTGGGTTTACACACACACACACACGCAAATCTGTGATGACATTCATATCTCCCCAACAAATTTGAGATGGATATAAGGTGACCTTTATATTCAGTGACATTTAATAAGAATTTTGTTATGAAATATGTTACATGTGTATTTTAAGCTATAATAAGTAATTATCATGTGTATATATTTTGTCCGCTATAGTGATTTCCCCTTTTTTTGGTTTGTTAAATAAGTATTATGTGGATACCTTTTGTTAATTATAGTAATTTTCCTCTTCTTGTCTGGTTTGTTATATCTTATAATATAGTTGATCAATAGCTTCACGTTAGTTGCTATTTGCAAGATTCTAAATTATATAATAAGTCTATATTTCCTTTAGTATTTAAAGAATAAAATATAAAATTTTATAATACTTACTAATATTTCTTGCATCTTCTATGAAAAATGCTTCTTTGATTGGAAAATATTGTTTAATATGTTCCCTATGTGAAATCAGCTAATGCTTCTTTGGTAGATATATCTCTTGTTAATATCAATTCAAGTGATTCATGTAAGTTTATGAATTTTTGGTTAATTTCCTTTACTTTTTAATTTAAAATAAAAACAGCTAAATCCTTTTGAAGGATATCCTTGAATTTTTTTAATAGTTTCTCCATACATAACTCATTGTATATTTTTACCCTATCTGTAACGCCCCGCCCCGGAATCCCAAATTGAACCAAACTAATGCCAATTGAAAGATATGTGAATCTAGTTTTCAAAACAGAAAACCATACCTAAAGATAGTTTTTCTAGAGAAAGATATGCTCATTTTACTGATGATATATCCTGCAGAAAATCTGCTGCACATATAAAATGTTTGACTGGAAATTTGAAATATCATATGAACTCCAAACTGGGCCAAATTAGTGTCAAATGATATCTATGTGAGTCTAGTTTCCAAAACGAAAAACTATTCTAAAAAAGAGTTTGTCCAGAGAAAGATATTCTCATTTTACTAATGCTATGTTCTGCAGAAAACTGCAGATGTGCTGATTTGAGTCGACTCATCGGAGTTTTTCCTATTTCGTTTGTATTTCTGCTTGATCAACTACTATGCTTATACTTTCATACAGTGTTCATATATGATCGAGAGTTCTATTAAACTTTTGTTGAACATGAGTAGTTGCCTTGTTTATTGAGTATTAAATTGTAGTATTCATGTTTTCATCTACACATATGAGATGACTTTTCTGACACAAGCTTAGATCTGTACCGTGAGGCATGCACAAGAGTAGAATATGTATACCTTTACTTCTAGTATTCCATGGTTTATATATACAGTCCTCGTGTTGGACTATAATCCATTGAAGTCCTCGTGTTGGACTATAATCCATTGAAGTCCTCGTGTTGGACTATAATCCACTAAAGTCCTCGTATTTCAGTCATCGTGTTGGACATTTACATATTTGACCACATCTTGGATATTTGTTAAGCTATGAGTATGACACTTATCTAAATCAGGACATGACATGATTACATGAGATTTGGACATGATAGCTACCTAGGCTGTACATGACACTTATGTAATTTTGACCTTTGACACTTATTTGGTTATGACATGACACAGTATTTAAGTTTTGAGATGGGTTGTATTTCTCTTTATTATTGTTCCTGTATTAGATTTTGGGTTTGGTGTTTAGGGATTTATAATTTGAGATACAAGGTATATACATGAGGGTTTCCTTGTTTGGATTATTTCGTTCGACGTACCTATGCTCGTGTTGTAAATCTCTAAATACTAAAGTCCTCTTTTGTTAGGATCTATGATTTTAGAATATTATGTATTCACTGTATTTTCATATACAACGAGCCCTATCCTTTGGGGTTGGTTGTGATGATGCTCGCTAGCGCTTTGACGCTCGTTGTCCCTCCCCCTTTCAGGTAACGAGCCAGGGGCCCGGAGAGTCGCAGGTTGATGGCGACGTATTTTAGTTTTAGCCGTCTATTTAGTTATATTTTCTTTTGAGCTCCACTGTAGACTTTTGTGTAGACATGTGAGAGTTTTATTCTAGAAATTTTAAAGGCTGTGTGCCTTATTTCCCTTTGTCAGACATTTTGTATTTGAGACTTGTTGAGGACTCCAGTTCATTTATTTCAGACATTTACTTGTATTCCAGTATATTAGATAATGAAATATTAAATCTCTATTTCATCAGTTGATTCTTGTATAATCTTTTACTTGCTTTGTACTACACCTGTTGTTGATTCCACTAGAGAGATAGTAAATGTGATGGTGAAACATGTTATTGCACGGTGTGGTGCATGGCAGGTTTGACATTTCTGGTTTCACCTCGGACTGCAGCCTTGTGTGAACCCAGGGGCGTCACACTATCTATATTATTAATATCAGAGAATATTTTTTTACCCTGTGAATATTACTAACATCATAGAATAATATTTATAAAATATAATCAATTAATACTAAGCTATTATATTATATTCCTTTATCAATTTTAAGTGATTTAGTCTTCTATCAATTAATGCCATCTCTGTATTTTTAATACCTCAACTTATGAATAAAATTATATGCAATTACTTTTATTTAGACAATAATGTTAAATATTAAGCTATCAACATATTTTTCAAATTTCATGGTGCTTTTTATAATTTTGAACTTTTAGGGGTGTTTCTACAAAATTTGAAACTTAAGGGTGATTATTGCAAATTTTAAATTTTAGTGGGCTACTACTAATTTCTAGATTTTATTTTTCAAAATATTAAGCTAACAACATTTTTTTCAAATTTCATGGTGCTTTTTATAACTTTGAACTTTTAGGGGTGTTTCTACAAATTTTGAAACTTAAGGGTGCTTATTGAAAATTTTAAATTTTAGTGGGCTACTACTAATTTCTAGATTTTATTTTTATTGTTTTAATTTTTGAAAAGTCAG